AAATGCTGCATATCATATCCCCTTCTTGGAGAATCACAGTGCGCTTTCACTTATTTAAAGGCTGTAGAAAATGAATCGATTTAATTTTGTTCTAAACCAGCATTTGCCAAATATGCTTGACCACAGAACTCCTTTTTTTAAAAAACAAGCAATGTTATTAATATTAACATTATAATTATATAATATTAATATTAGTAATCACTAGGTAGTATTTGCTAAAATAAGGTTAGAAAAACACTTTCAAATACAGAAGATAAGAGCATTAGGTACAAATCTTTTACTGAACCTAAATGAAAAGAACAGTGTCTCCAGTTCCCTGTGTTGGAATCACAAGCTGAAGGTCTTGAACTACTAAGGACTCTAAGTCACTAAAGGTCCCTAAGTTAAGAACTTTAAAGCAATTAGAAATTCATTAAAGAAACTTGACTATTAAAAAATTATTAAATTTTAATAGTAGCAGCCAGAGACCTCTAAGTGATGCTTGGAAAGAGAGAAAAGTAGCAAATTTTATCCTATGGAGTCAAAATAAAGTGGAGAAACTCAGATGACGACTCATCACGAGTGAGCATCTGAGTCTGTTTTTCCTGTACTTGTGACGGTGAAATTTGCTAACATATTTACCATTTCCAATCCAGGTCATCTTATGGCCAAAGCCATGCGTTTATAAAATATTTCACCACCATAACATGTTTTCAGAGTCCCTAAAATCAGCCTCTTTCTTTTACACCAGTCCCTGAGATCTTTGTGCCTGTCACAGACTCAAAAATCTGCCCCTGATCCCTAACAACACTTAGACCTAATCTTATTGGCTGGATTGTTATTTCCTCAGGCTATTGGATATTCACTACTTCGAGTGGCATTATGGATATGACACCAAGCTTGAAAAATGTTGTGTTTGGAGATGGCCTAGTGTAGCAATTAAGTTCAAGTCCCAGCATCCACACTGTGTGATTCTGGGGAATTTGTTTACCTGTTCCGTGATGTAATTTCTTCAACTCTAAACTCCAGATAACACTAGAACTCAACTCAGAGTCTTGTTAGGTGGTATGTTATATTGGATAGAGTGAGTGTTCAACAATGTTAGCTAGAGTGGTCTGGATTCCCTTTTGTAATTTAAGTTCTACCATCAAGACTTGCAGACCACACAGCAGGATTCTAGGAACCGTCTGCACCTAACTCTAAGGGGATTTGACAGCTAACCTATACAGTGGTGGAGGAAAATGTTTCCGGGAAGGAGCAAGAAAGATTACTTCTCAAGAAGATTTACTTTTGAGTGTATAAGCTCTGTGCTAAATTACTAGAAGTTATGTCAGTCTTTTTACATAACAGCTAAACTAAATGGAGTAAGACACTGATATCAGTATCTATTTGGAAATACAAGGTTAAGGTTCTTAAAATCACTTTTCCTGTAAAAGAGCTCTTCATACTTTTTTTAGACAGAAGAAATAGAGGATTGTTACACTCTGAAATGAATGAATGTTTTTTGATGAATGTGCCAGAAAAAGCACTTACTGGACTGGTCTCCAGATTTGAGTTCTAGTCTGACCTGGAACAAGCCACTTAGCCTTTCCTAGTTTTCTCATCGTAAAATGGAGACAATAGTAGACTCACAGAGACATAGGGTGATTAGACAAAAAATAAGTGTCAAAGTTTTATCGACCAAAATAGGTTATTTGTCAATATTAGTATTATTTATAGTATCTAAATGATGATCCAATATCTTTACATAATATTTCTATGATGGTGTTTTAGAATAAAAGAAGGAAAATACGGGTGTTCAGGTTTTCTAAAAAGCTGAATAGAAGGAACATTGCACTTGGACTCTGAAAGTCTAAGTTTGCCTTCCATTCTGTCGTTGGCTTGTTATGTGATTTGGGGCAAGTCGCACTGAATCTCGGATTGTGTCTCACCTGCAACATAGGTTGCTAGTATATGCTTTTACCAACTTCTCAGAGGATGTCTTTAATAGTACTCTGTACACTGTGAACTCTATAGTCATTCATTTACTCATCCATTCAACAAATATGTATTGAGTATCATGTGTCTGACCCCTAATGGGGGTCATAGCCAGTGGGAAAATTCACACAATAAACAAATAGACGTACAGATTAACCTATAAGTAACACAATGATTAATACTGCTAAGCAAAAGAGCAAATGCCAAGAGAAAATGACAAGGAGACGTAATTCAGGTTGGGAGGTTGAGAAAGGCATCCCTGAGCAAATTGTATTTAAACTAAGACCTGGAGTGTAATGTCAGCCAGGCAAAAAGCGGAAGAGAATGGGAAGGAGAGGCTTTTCACGCAGAGACCCTAGCTAGCATATGCAAAGACTGGAAGCAGAAAATAACTTCCAGTAACAGGAGAGCTGGAACACCATAAGGGGCCAAAAGTGAAGTTGGAGGAATGGCAATTCCTATATACCACGTTATAGATTTTGGATTTTATTGCAGGTGTAGCTGAAAGCTGTTGAAATGTGTTAATCAAAGAAGAGGGAAGGTTAAATTTGCATTTTTTAAAGATTAGCCTGGCTGCCGTATAGAGAATTGATGGAGGGGACACAGAAGATGTGGAGAGCAGAGCTCGGAGGCTGTTATTATTGTGGTACAGCAAAGAATTCATAGTAGCTTAACTAGAGAGGCAACAGAGAAGATAGATCCAGGGTGTATTTTGAAGGAGAATTAATTGGATTTGGTGGTGTCCTGGGTGCAAAGCATGGAAAAGGAAGTATCGAGAATAATTTCCAGGTGTCTTACTTGAGCAACTTGAGCAATAAAGGATCCTCCTGAGGAAGGATCAGGCTTAGCAGGAGAGAGGATCAAGACTTAAGTTTTAGACATAGCTAATATTGGGATGTCAATTAGATATCCAAGTGGGGCTGACAAAAATCAGCAGGAAGAGAGGTCTACTGCCCACTTCAAGTCATTAGGTCATTCAATTATTCACCAAATGTTTATTGAGGACCAACAGTATGTCTGATTTGGTACTAAGTGTTGGAGATTTAAAAAACAGTGATCCAAATGGCTCTGATATTATGGAGCTTGTTATATTTTATTAGGTAGTGATAGTTGCATAGATGATTTTCAAAATCAAAGACAATAACTGGATCTAGGGCATGACTGAGAAAATTCAAATGGGTACATGGATTTTAACATCCTTCAAAATATGTGCTGCAGCACTCTGGATGCCCGGGGTCCTTAGCCCGTGGCTGGGAACCACTCTGTTAAAAATAGCCACTATTAAACATTTTGGTTGCATTGACTCGCCTAAAGGATGCATTATAACAGGTTACCATGTAACAGCCTGCATTTATATTTATAAATATTTTTAAAAATTTGATATGATAAAATTTGACTGCTATAAAGTTAAACTGTCTAAATGGAAGTTTAACAATGAAGTATGGATTGTTATTTTATTATACCTAGGTCTAGACATACAAAAAACAAGATATTATATTTATTTGGGGAATGTGGAGAGTTTTGAGAGCCCCCAAATGATTAAATAAGAAAGGCCAAATCCTATAAGGCAATCCTTATGTTTAGCATAGATGTTTATGTGTCATTGAGGTGAGTGGAGCGTTGAGGAAGGATATAGATAGTGAGTTGAAGGCTATCAGCATCATCATTGTAATGCCTAACATTTGTATGGTGCTTGACAGTTTTCAGAGCCCCATTCATATTTGTCTTTTTTTTTGTTGTTTTTGTGGTCTGTTTTTTTTTTTTTTTGAGCAAGATTGGCCTGAGCTAACATCTGTTGCCAAGCTTCCTCCTTTTTTCCTTTTTTCTCACCTAAGCCTCAGTAGACAGTTGTTTGTCATAGGTGTACATCCTTCTAGTTGCTCTACGTGGGATGCTGTCTCAGCATGGCTTGCTGAGCGGCGCGTAGGTCTGTGCCCAGGATCCGAAATGGTGAACCCCGGGCCACCAAAGCAGAGCGTGCGAACTTAACCGCTACACCACCAGACCGGCCCCCTCATGTTTTTCTTTAAATCATATAGACTAGTTATCAACTATAGCTTAAGTTTGGACAAAACAGAAAGAATTAAACAAAATTTTATTATAAGGGAGTCAAGCCTTGTAAAAAGATTTATTTCCTGAGCATGAACATTGTCATACACTGGAATGACTTCCTTGGGGACGTCCCTGATTCACTTTCTCTAGGAATCCTTAATAAAAGCATTGACTCATTAGATCAAGATTGGTCTCATTCATGAGTTAAAATGAGAAATGGTATAATATATAAGTAAGCGTAAAGGCCTTTCTCTCTTGCAGGTATAGAGAAAAAGCACTGGCATTAGGGTCAAACAGCCTCGGTTGGAATCGTAACTCCATCTCCCGCTAGCTGTGCATCCATGAGCAACTTACTCGACAGCTTTGATTTTCTTTATCATCATAGGGAGCTTGGGAGGTGTTAAGGGATAATATGAAGAATCCAGATTATTTAATAAACATTTGTCCCCTTCCCCCAATGCCTTCCTCTGAGACCTCCATCCCTTCCTAACATTCTAAAATTGAAACTTCTGAGCAAGAGAAAATATGTGACCAAGGATGAAACTGAAGCCCAATTTAAGACTTACCTTTCCCTAAGCCCATTAGACTAGTATAAAATTTTAGCAGAATATATGTCTAAAACTAGTTAAATCAGCCAAGACCATTCATCATCCTTTTTATAGTTGACCAGATGATACCAAAAGAACTGTCAGATTAATCTCTAAGATTTATAATGTGAATTAAATTTACATATGCCATATGCAATAGAGTTTTTTAAATACTATAACAAGGTTACAGGATTAAGATCAGAAAATAAAATAATAATAATCATTTATTGTCATTTCAACATTTAAGGAATAATTTAGGAAAAAACACTCAATCCTTATTTTCCCATGTGATAAGCTTCATTTAACTTTTATTCCTTTAAATATTTTTTGATGTTTAGATGAACCACTGTCTTGCTTCCACAGAAAAGCATGATTAACGTGGATCCATCTGTATCTCTTTAACAGGGACAAGCGATCCATACGTGAAGTTTAAAATTGGAAGAAAAGAAGTTTTTAGAAGTAAAATAATACACAAGAACCTCAATCCTGTGTGGGAGGAGAAAGCTTCCATTCTTCTTCAGCATCTCAGGGAGCCGTTGTATATAAAGGTGAGCCATTGATTTGTTTTTCCCTAATGCAATCTGACATAAACTCCCCGTTTAATGGTTTGTTATTGTGCTTCTCTGTCTGATGAGATTTTTCACCAGAGCTATGTTCTGCTATGCACAACTCTGATCTGTGGATGATGTGATAGAAATGAGACGGAGGGGAGGGGCAGCTAGGAGGAACATTTTTCTTCGGGACAGTTCTATTGCCCGTCATTTAGGAGGATTTTGAAGTCCGTCTCCTCCTGCTGGGTGCAGTTAACTGATGTAGTGCACTTTGAGAACACGTAAAAACAAGTCTCCATCTAATCTAGCAAGAAGGAACACTTACACAGAACCCAGCCTTTCTGTTTGGGAATTCTATTGAGGATCTACCCTTCCTGGTTGCAAACAAAATGCTTTACTTGGAAGACAAGAGGGGTAAAGATAATAGGGGGAGAAAAATTCCTGTCTTATCTTGTTGTCAAAAATGAAAAAGAAAAAGAGTCTTTCCTCTCATTTGATGTAGTTTTTTTTTTTTTAAACAAAGACAAAGAAAAAGAAGAACTTAGGGAAAGGGTTACAATCCTAATTCCTTGTTTTTATTTTCATACCTGACTTCCCTTTAATTCACATCTCTAGATACTTGTATTCTTTTTGGCTCCTATGTCTGACTCCCCCATTCAATGACCAAACTTGTGTCTAGTTTTACCACAACATCACAAGCCCCATCCTTTTCTCTAAATTGTTGCAAGTCGCACATGAGCCAAAAATCTCATATAATCACTCTTTCAGCAATCTCTGGGCATCCTTCTTCCCCTCAACTCTTCAGTTGTATTGCTTCCAGTTGTTTCTCTTCTCCACAGAAAGGAAAAAAATAATCAAGGCATTATTAACATCATAGCAGGATAGTTTATTAGATCGATGAAAAGAGAATCTCCCAAGTACATGGTTGATAAGTTTCTCAAAATCTTGCCTGAAAGATTTCTTAGGGACTAACCAATTCTGTAGTGACAGGTAATATGAAAATGTATCCATGAATTAGATGGTTAGAAAATATTAGGTATACAACCCTCTCATCTCTAGTGAAAGGTAAAAAGTCCCTTTGTACTCTGTTATCTGATTTCTATCAATGTAAAGATTACCCAGGAAAACAAAATTCCGTTCTAAGCCAAGGTTAGAAAATCAGATTTAAGTTGCAGTGCTTGTACCATTTCTCGTAGAAACAGATTTTTTTTTCAAAAAGTCTTGGAACTGTCATTTTTAAATGCTATATACAAAATAAATAAGAATACACTTTCTGCTAGGTTGGAACTCATATAGATTTTAATTTTAATGAAAAGAGAATATTCTTTCAATTCTGAATGACTTCACAGTAAGGGCAGGTGAAAACAAGGCTGGAGGAATGGACTGGAAAAATATTTATAATAAAGTTGCAAGAGAAGCTGGGAGTTAAAATGTAGTACTTTTAACTGAGACAAGAGCCACGGGAGCCTGCTCTGTATCCACAGGGAGGCTCTGGCACACATCTTAAATAATAGGATAAATTCAGCATTCGTTTCTGTTGGATTGAATGAAAATTCTCCATTATCATTTCACTGACACTGTTATCCAAGGTACATGTGAATACCCAGAGTTACAGTGGAAAGCTAAAAGTTATACAAAGGGATTGTTTGGCCTAATCATGATCAAGAAATCTGGGTTTTAAATTGGAATGCTCTTCTAAATAATAGAAAGATTTCGATAATTAGGAAAACATTGCAGATTGGAGCCACACTCCTGTTTCTAAGATGGTCACTTTAACAAAAATTGACAGTTTCTTAAATAATTCATATCTATCCAAGCTTAAGATTTAAAATTGAAAAGATACTTTGAGCTCTGTTCAAGTTAAGACCATGTTACTGTCTTATCCAAAATTATTTCTCAGTAGGTTTTGAGGGCCCTAAATGAATGTCATATACCAGTGATCCTCAACCCTGGCTGAACATCAGAATTATCCATAAAGTTGTAAAGAATCTAGATGTCCAAGTCTCCCCTCCTAAAGATTCTGATTCAGGACCTCTGAGATATATTTTTAAAACACAGTAGTTTATTCTAATGCACCGCGTGGGTAGGGGGCCACTTTTCTAGGCATTTAAATGGAAACAACTGAATAGTTGGAATGGAAATATGTTTGCAGCCAGAAACCACAGTGCACCCAAACAAAATTATCCCAAAGTTAGAAGATGTTTGTATTATCTTAGATGTTTTTTCTTGCATGGTTCAAAAACACTTCCTAAATGCATGAATCAAGAATATCAACTATTTCAGACAAAAAAATAATCAATAGCAAAACAAAACAAAGAAACAAAAAAGGATCAGCCTACTTGCTTTTGGTTTATGGGCCAAGAACATGTGAGGTTACTGAGTCTTGGGAAGGTGGAATCTGCAGTCACATCTTCATCATCATAACAGCTCCCATTTATTGAGCACTGTGCTCAGTGCCAGGCCTACTGGCACATGTAATCCTCACAATAACCCTGCAAGTAACTGTTCTCATCCCCATTTTGCAGGTGAATGAGACTCAGAGAGATTAGGCGTTTGCTTAAGTCCACCCAGTAATTAAGCAACATAGCTTCTGTTTTCCACTAAAGATGACTAATTGCAATGGCCACAGTTATGTTTTGTTTGTTTTACAATGTCACTTCTATGACTTAGGGTTTAATTACTTTGTTATAATTAAATGGTTGTTTTGAAGCTGCCTTGGTATGAAAATGAGTCATGGACACATTTGCTGAGTGAGATCTTATATCTTGAGTCGTATTGTATGATCTCATGGGATGAGTTAGACCTTTAAAGAAGCTTTAATTTCATTAGAAATATTATTAGTAAACCAATCTTAAAATGTCTTCAAATCATTTTGAAATCGGATACACTACTATATATTCTGTGGGAAATGGAAAAGTGGAACATTATAAATACATTATCAGTAATTCAATCATAGAAATTGCCATGCAGTGAATGTAATAGAAAATCCCGAAGAGTTATTTAATAGTATTGAATGAATGCCAATTAGATACTCACTGTCATAACTCAGAACACAATTAGGCATAGACAGCAAACTGTAATAGTATAGAGCAGATATGGAAGGGCCAACTTATCCCAACAACCACTGTCCATCTCCCTGACACTGGGGCAAGGAAAATCCCATGGGGATGTCAACCATGTTGACTGGTGTCAGGGTAGGATCCCAAGGGCTGGGCAAGATCAGAGTAGGGTACCACATGGAGGAGACAGGGCTATTTGCAATTTTCAGACAGTGGTAGAGATCAGGAAAGTGAAATGGCAAGGCAACAAGGCAAGCTCCAGAGATGCAGGAAATAGGTAAATAGATAAAAAATAAAGTTTAGAAGAAAGTGAAGCTGTAAGTTGAATAAATAAAGGAGGCCTTTCCACCCAGCACAGGTACAGGTTTCCTGAGTTACAGGCATATTGCTCATCTACCTAATGGAGGCAAGAAGAGAAGTATTAAGTGTGAATAACATCAGACAGGAGATGGTTCTCCATGTACTGTCAGCATCAGGGGAGGAGGTGCCTAACATATATTTGTGGGAATGTCCAAATTGGTGGTCAAAGCAGGGCCTTAGTGCGATTCCAGAACTAACACTTAACCCAGCTTCAAGGATATCTGTCCATAGTTGCAGGACATTTGGTGAGCATGACTTGATGCTGAGACCCAGAGCACTGAATTAACACTTCTGAAAATCTTTCCTGGCTCATATCAGGAGTTGTCCTAAAGCTAAGACCAGGACTGAGCTACAAGTAGCCCCAACTATAGCAAGGCAAGTGATGATGGCACCTGGAGCCATCATAAAGAACCCTAGGTACGGGTCTCTGTTGAGGATCTTTGTTGGGGGTTTTCCCAACACACATCCCTCATTTTATCTCAGTTTTCTCTTTGGAGATCCATATGGTTCCGTGGAAGCTGACATCACCACTGCCTTTAAAAATATAGCACACAAGCTAGGTTAGCCATTCAGCCAATTCCATATCCTTGGACAAGAATAGGCATGTGACATGAGCCAGCCCACCCAGAGTGAATTCAGGGCCTTTGCTGAGAATGCAGTTCACTCTCCTCCACTGGATGTGAATGAAGGAACATGCTACCCCAGAGCTTCTGGAAGGCAGTAAGGATCATATGGAGAGTTAGTCTGTTGAGGCATTAACACTTAGGAAACTCTGATGAGAACTGGAGAGATAGAAATGGAATTCAGGCTATATCATTTATTTTTAAAATAGTTGATTACTCCCTTCATCTTTAAAACACTTTCTTCAGTTAGTTTCCAGGATACACCTCTCCTGGTTTTCCCACTCCCTCTCTAGCTGTTTCCTCTCTGTATCATTCTCCTAGACTTCTAAATGTGGGAGCACCTCAGTGCTCTTAGATATCTTTTCTCTATGTATTTCCTCTTCAGGTGATCCCATTCATGGCTTTAAATACAGTCTAGTCCCTGATAATTCCCAAGTGTATATCTTCAGCCCAAGTTGTTTCCCTGAACAACCTGTATTCAACCACTTGTTCAGCTTTCCATTTAGTTATCTAGTGGGCATCACAAACTCAACATGTTAAAGTCAGATTCATACTAACTCTTAAGTCCCCACCCCTCCCCCACTCAAAACTGCTTCTTTCCTCATTCCCCATCTCAGGAAGTGGTACCACCATTCACCAATTGTTCAGGACAAAAACCTCGGAGTCACTATTTGGGTTGGAGTCCCAAAACCACCTACACATTTGGTGATTGACTAGAAAGACTCAGAGGCAATTGTACCCATGGTTATAGTTTATTACAGCAATATAGCAAGGGAAAAAGACACATCAGGCAGAGTCCAGAGAAACCCATGCACAGGCTTCCTATGTCCTCTCACTCCCACTGGGAGAGGTGACACAGAACATGTTTCATTCTCTGGCAGTGAAATGCTGCAACACATGTGCAATGTTTCTGCCTGACAAAGCCCAGTTGAAACTCAGAGTCCCAGGTATTTAGTGGGAGCTGGTCACTTAGGCAAAATGACCAGTCACAACTATCAAAATGCTAGACTCCCTGAAGGAAAGCAGGGGTTCAATGCATCAGATGAGCAAAAGAGCTTTATCAATGGGAATGTTTCAAAGCCAAGTTCCTAGATGCCAGCCAAGAGCCAGTCCTGTAAGCAGGCCTGTCTAAAGACGGCAAGCGCAAGCCTATGTTTACTGTTTCCTGTACATCCTTAGTTCCTGTCTTTCTGTCATACTAAACGTCGAATCTATTAGTAATTTCTGTCAGCTCTACCATCAAAGTATATCCTAAATTTGACCACAGCTCACCACATCAACATCTAATCTAAAGACACCATCAACTCTTGCCAGGACCACTGGTCTACTTGCCTACATTATTTCCCTCAATACAAAATGTAATTCACCAAGTGTTTCAGTTTGAACATTTTAAGACATAAATTAGATTATATCACTCCCATGCATAAAATCTTCCAGTGACTTCATACCATACTCAATATGAAACCGAAAGTCATATGATGGTTGGTTCCATAGTCTAGGCCTGAACTAATATCCCAGCACTCTTCTCTTGCTCGCTTCCTTCCTGCCACACCAGCCTCTGGCCAGTTTCCTGGATACCTTTTCCCTTCCTATTCCCATTACGCCTCCTCACTCCACTCAAATGCCACCCTTTCTCATTGTCCTCCTGAACATCTTATATAAATAGTAGTTCCTATCTCTCTCCTATTCTGAGATATTTGTCTCCATGGCACTTATCACTACTTGGTGTGTATTTATTTACTGTCTGCATCTCCCCTAGATGTAAGCCCCAAGAAATCAGCCTTTGTTTTGTTCACTGCTGTATTTCCACCACATACTTGGCACATTGCAGGTGCTCACCAAATATTTTTCAAATAAATGAATGAATAAATATATGAATCATTTGAACTGCCAAATCAAAACTCCCCTGAAGTCATAATTACCTATGGACATTTCAGTCAATGGAAGCTAACAAATTCCCATTCTTGAAGCCAGTGTGTGTTAGGTTTTCTGTTACTCGTATCCAAAAACATTTTAACTGATGCACTCTCTAATGTAATTTTTCTTGGTAGAACAATCGAATCAAGATGCTAAGTTCGTTCGTTGATTAGAATAAAACATTTGTTGTTCTAAACCCACTTGAAAATGAAATGAAAGGAGGTGTTATGGAACCCCAAACAACTTCTACCTAATGTTACCTAATGTTTCCAACTCATGGAGTGGAGGATCCATGAAAGCAAGGATCTCAACTATATTGTTCACATATGAATTCCCAGTGATTCACCCAGAGTGGGTGCCCTAGTTATATTTGTTAAATTTAAATATGCTCTGGGTCTGAAATCTAATACAATAATTTGACCTCTTCCTAGCCCTGGGATTTGGGGGCAACATAAACTTTTTAAGCTTTGGATTCCTTATCAGAAAAACGGAAACAACACCACTTTGTTCATTGAGTTGTTTAAGAATGAAATCTAAAAATCTATGTAATGTGTTTAGCACAATGCCTAAGATATAGCAAACGTTGAATAAACATTAATCAGCATTAACTGCGCTTATTGTTATTGCAGTGGGAGTACCTTTTCTTATTTGATCTCTTTTCTATGCTTCATAGTTCTGAAGCTCCACCTAGAGTAACGCTCCCTCTGACAAGTAGTTTATAGAGTGGAACAAAGTAGCATAGCTAATAATTTCATTAGTGAATGGATTCTGGTATTTCCATTCTTTCCCATGTTTATGCCTTTGCTGATTAATAGGATTTGAGAACTAAAGCAAACATCTAGCATTAGGACAGTAGGAAAGACTCTCATCATGAGAATAAAGAGAGTTTAAATGTTGAATCACGCAGTTGGGCTGTCTACACTAATCAGTTCACTGGGTTCACGGCTCTCCGCTTCACATGTGTGAACGTACCCCAGGTGTTCTCCTTGGTTATATGTCACTACAGTCTTCCCAAGATTTTAAGCCTTAGGGTGACAGTTAGAAGAGATTGGTCAAGAGAAATTTCCCTAATTTTTGGTGTAATTTTATATTGCAAAGTACACTACTGGAGCCACTTGCAAATACCAAAGTGACAGTTGCATAGGATGTGCAGTATATCCATGTGATATGCCACTGAGCAGATGACTAAAGCTCAGAAGTGATCAAGGAGAATATTTATTGCAGGAGTGCTGCGCTTTCTACAACAAATGTACTCCTGAAAGGTTGTATGTAAATCAAATGACTGTAAATTGAATAATTTAAACGGCATTAGGAGGGCTTATTACTTAAATAAATCCCCTATGACTCTTCAAACTTAAGAATCCTTTTGTAATGCAAAGTATTTATCTTTTTGTTTAAATATCAATTTTTTTTACATATTAAGTTTGTTTCAATGGAAGTACACCTGTACTAGAGAAAAAACAGTAACCGATTCAGGGCTGCTGTATACACTGTTCCCTCTGCTTCGAGTTTTCTAACTGTTGTGCCAAGAATTGGGCACAGGAGTTCTGGGCTATGGATTTTCTCAGCCTAATGGATTCTCATATCCTGGAGAGTCCAATGGCCTGGATCATCCATTCAAGAGCAGACTTACCTGTTTATGCTCATTTACTCCACTGTGCAATACAAAGATTTTCTATTTGAAAAGGTCAGGGAGCACAGCTCTAAACTTCATCGAGTAGTATTTTTTTTTCAATCTTAAAAGCTTTCCCTGATCTCCACTGTAATTTTTTCTTTCCATACCCTGTACTTTTCTTTATAACACTTATCAAAATCTGTCATTACGTATCACCTGGGCACTTCTTTGTTTAACATGTGTCTCCCTCACTAAACTGTAAGTATTGACAATGTCAGTTTTGCTCACCACTGTTTGCTCAATGCCGAGTACATTGTCTGTCACATAATAAGTGCTTAATTGATATTGGCTGTGGGGATGAAGGAATAAGATTAATAAACGGATGGAAGTTAGCCAACGCCTATTTACTTGGAGTTTTTTGCAAATGGCCCTAACTGATCTACCTCTGAGCTATCTCTCCAACCTCCTTCCACACTCTATCTTTCTCATTCTGCTTCAACCATACTGGCTTCTTGATGATCCTGGAACACGCTAATTGCTTGCTGTTTCCTCCTCCTGGGGTTCTGTTCCACTTCTAACATGGCTTAGAATGTGATATGCCACTAACAATGCCACAATGACCTCGTCATTGAGGTCACTACTCAAACACACTTTCTCCAAGAGGCCTTTGTGGATTCCATGTCTAAAACAGCAGCTTCCAACACATTTGTCTCCATAGCTCTCATCACTGAACTGTATATATCTATTGGAGTTTTTATTGACTGTCTCAGCCCCTAAATGTAGGGTCCAAGAGGTCGAGAACATTGCCTGTCTTATTCACCGTAGTATGAATAAGAACCATGAAGGGCACAGAGAAGATACTGGATACATAGTTTTGACAGAAGAGAGAAATACTTTCTCTCTTTTCTTTTCTTTTCCTTTCCGTTTTGTTGTTAGTCACGTTAATATTATCCCCTAGTTATTGCTTGTGACAATAAAAACAATTTAATTTAACCTTAATATAACTTTACAAACTGCTTTAATCATAATATCTTAATGCTTACTTATTTGTATGCTTAAAATGTCATTGTTCTATAATATCAGAGAATTTATCATCAATGACTTGAAAGATATGGAGAAGTTGAAGTCATATTCTCATCACCTATAGCCCAATATGGAAGACATATTTGTTGAATTTCATACCAACACACCTTGCCTTCCAGTAAAGCTAATAGCCCTTCGATAATATGAGAAAAACATTCTAAGCCTGTGGTTCCCACATTTTTGATGATTTACTGTATTTTATTTGCTTTTGATATTCATCTTCCTTTAAAGTTCTATTTGATATAAATCAATAATTTTAAGTAAAAAATTAAATGTAATTTTCTTTGAATGTTTTGTGAGACCCTAGTATTCCAAAACACAAAAACAAATAAATTTTTAAAAATAAATATTAGGAATTTTCATTGTTTTTGGTAGCATAGACAACAAATATTTTATGATTAAGATGTTTTTATTTAAAGCTTAACTTGGAATTATTTTTAACAATGTTTTGTCTCTTTGGCTTCTTAGGTGTTTGACTATGATTTTGGACTACAGGATGACTTTATGGGCTCAGCCTTTCTGGATCTCACACAACTGGAGTTAAATAGGTAAGTTTTGAACTGTTGTAATATCATTACACCATATTTTGAAGCTGGGCCTGTGTAATAGAAAACAGCAGATCTGGGTTCTGGCCGCTCTTCTGTCATTTATAGTTGTGAGCCTTCATGCTAGCCAGACTTTCTCAAGTACATCCTTCTCACCTGCCTGGTGGAAATAATAGCATCTTCCCCTGACTGTCTCGTTCAACAACAGCTATTCAACAGAAAATTTCTTGGACACCTGCTTTGTCCCCAGCATTGTGATAAGCACCAGGAATTAGACATAAGACACATTGCTTGCTTTCACAGTGCTGGTATGGTTGTAATGGGGCATAAAGAAAATTATACATGTTAATAATATTATTAATTTAAGAATCAGGCCACTACATAGGAAATAAAACGTGTGCACTTTGCTTCAAAAGTAGCAACTCTCTTATCACTTGAGCCAAAGTAGACTCTAATTTTGCCATCATCAGTAATCCTAGATTACCAAGAAGTGCCCCTAAAGTGGAGGCAGATGGGTTGTATCTGCTCTGTTACCTTAGCTTATCATTGCTTGACTAGTTGTAAAGTTATATTATTATTACTAATACGAATTATTCCTTAGACTTCATTATGGGATTATTTTTTTAAATGTATTTCAACATGGGAGCTAAGAATTGATTAACTCTACAGAAGAAAAAAAATAGGTTTTGAAAGATCAAGTAGTGAGAATGGGCTGCAAAGGAAGCTGTGAAATCTTCTTTAATTGTTTTAAGGAGAAGATATTTAGACAATCAGGTTACATCATGTGGCAGGAATAGTGAAAAACAGAAAAGCAGAGTAATGGGCCAGATCACTAGTTTATACTTTAAACATGATGAAATGTAAATAATAGAAGCCCCTATGTGCTATAGTCAGCTACGTACGGGTACAGTGGCAGCCTGTTCATCTTCCAATGGTCACTATGCCTCCGACTGGACAAAAGAGCGGCCTCTTCTGTGCTTTCTATGTGTCCTCCATTCTAACCTAGAGCCTAGCGCAGGCCTGACCTAAGGATAGAAAATAAGTGATTGCTGGCTCCCCACCTCACCACAGCTGAAGGGAGTGTCCTAGACAGTGCCGTATGTAGTCTGTTATCATGAAAACCGAGCTCCAACTAGAATGGGCTGTGCTGTTCTTCTATAAAGGCCACAATTATTTTCTCTGTAGACTTCTGCATAAGGATATGCACATTACTGGACTTAATCACAGAGAATAAATTTCTCTATTAAAGATAAGTCATTGGTGAAAAATAATTTTAAATGGAAAAAATATGCGATAGTTAAGAAAATAGAGATTATATATAAGCATTTGGTGTTTCTTTTGCCACATTACTTATTTTACATATTTAGCTAACCGTTGCCTCCACTTAAAACCACTTAAACATTGGGGGCCGGCCTGGTGGCGTAGTGGTTATGTTTGCGCACTCCGCTTCAGCAGCCCGGTATTCGTGGGCCTGGACCCCGGGCGCGGACCTACACACTGCTCATCAAATCATGCTGTGGCGGCGTCCCATATACAAATCACAGGAGGATGGGCATAGATGGTAGCTCAGGGCCAATCTTCCTCAAGCAAAAAGAGGAATATTGGCAACAGATGTTAGCTCAGGGCCAATCTTCTTCACCACACGCACAAAAAAAACACTTAGACATCAAATTACTACTTTTAAAAATCGTATATTTGTGTATGCCATTATATTCTATGTATAAATCAGTAGTCTCTGGTGTAGACAGATGGATAATAATAGTAGCCACATAAATACTAATGCTACTGTAAAATGCATTAAGGTATGGCTTTGAAAGAAAATAATAGATCAGCGTCATAAAGCAATTGCAAATGTTCTTAAATCTTTATCATGTAACCATTATGAAAATGTAATGAAGTTTCTTCTATTAATTTTTATATGTAATCATTATTACAGAAAAATGAACCAGATCAAATTGTAACCCCCAAATAAACACACATATGTGTGTGTATGTGTATATATATGTACTACAATGCTTAATATGCATTTGTTAAAATAAAAGGAACAAATTGTTACTATCAAACCGTAATGATTAGTTATAGCTAAATTAATATTGGAGCAATTTGCATCACAACTTTTATAATTTATGTATATTATCAGTCTGATAGGTTACTTATGTTTCAGTTAAAACCCCTGACATGAGAAAACTTCATATTTTTCATAACATCATTCCTTGACTTGGTAAATTAAGCATCATGTGAAAGAGTTTCCTACTGTTGTAAAATCTTCACTGAAAAGTACCTGTGGTTCTCAGACCTGGTTGGATGAGAAAATCATTTGGGGAACTTTTTTTATAAATATATAGATTTCCAGATACTACCCCTGATCTACAGAACTAGAGTCATCATGTGTAGAGTTCAGGATTATGCACTTTTTAAAAACTTCCCAGTTGATTCTGATGTGCAGCCAGGATTGAAAATTCTTGTTTGGACAAGCTTTCCCCATCAAGCCCTGGCCCCAGTACTAGACTCCAACTGTCTCATTTACTAAAAATTAAGCTCCATGAAGACAAGGATCTTATCTTTGGTCCTGACCTCTGGTTTGTACCCAGAACCTAACGCAGTATATGGCATTTCATATGTGTTTAATACACGTTTTGTGAATAAAATGAATAAGTGATTGAGCGAGCAAGGGAACATTCCCAATTTGCCAACATTTCAAGATTCAAGTTTGGTGCTGAATGTTCCATAATCCCTTAGGTTTATGGAGGGCATGAACCCCTATTTATTCAACATTAATTGAAATACGGAAACAAGATATTACATGTGCATTGTTGGTTCAATGTATGTTTTGCATTATTTTCTAGAAGTGATTGTGGGTAATACTGAGTAATTCATCATCTCTTCCTCAGAGATACTTATCTAATTCTAAAGCCTTCTAAGTATTGATGAACTCTTCTACGTATTGATTTCCTTGTGTTTCTAAATCTAAAAATTGTCTGACCATAAGTTTAAACAGCCAAAAAATAGAAACATTATTTTAAATATTGGAAGTTCTTTTAAATAATTATACATTGTTCTTTAAGTTTGTCTATAATGTATATCAGGCAAATTACATTTTGTATTTTCCTCTTCTCCCACTTGTCTGTTTACTTTAAATCATACTCCTGATTAAAAAAAAAAATTTAAAGAACTAAAAGGAGGGTAGTGGTCAAAAATGACCCTCATTCATTTGTTGGATTCCAATTTATAGAAAAAAGCTGCTACTGCTTTCTGTGTGTAGATCATAGAGATCTACATCATTAGAGATCATAGAGAAGGGACTTGGGATTTCTAATACTGTTGTAGTTTCTTGGCCTTTCCAGCAACCCCATGGCCTTTCTCGAACCCCATGAAGGACTAAAACTTATGCAGTGAATCCAAGTATAGCCACTGGCCCATGGTTTATTGGATAACTTAATACACTGATAATATTTTTAATAACAACGAAAATTGAACCAGGAAAGTAAAGACAAAATTGCTTTTCTTCTTAAAAATAATAAATTATCGGGCTAGCCCCAGTGGCCTATGGGTTAAGTTCAGCGCGCTCCACTACAATGGCCCAGGTTCAGTTCCCTGGTGTGGACCTACACCACCAGTCCATCAGTGGCCATGCTGTGGCAGCAGCTCACATACAAAATAGAGGAGGATTGGCAACAGATGTTAGCTCAGGGTAAATGTCCCTCAGCAAAAAAAAAAAAAAAAAAGTAACAATAATAATAAATTGTTGATATAAAATATATTTTGGCTTATTCATTTAATGACTGTTCAAAATCTTAATATTTTATATCACAGGCCCACGGATGTGACCTTAACGCTGAAAGATCCCCACTATCCTGACCATGATCTTGGAATCATTTTGCTCTCAGTTGTCCTTACCCCTAAAGAAGGAGAATACAGGGATGTGGTAAGTTCCCCCACAGCCTAGGAGTGCTTTCTTGCTCTCACTGGTTCAAATTCATGAGCCTTCTTTGAACCCAGAGGTAATAATAAAGAGAAGCGGGATATGAAAATCTGGCCTGTTCTTTATTTCTGTGAGTATCCTGGGTATCCCTAGTCCCTGTGTATTGTATCTTTTGAATTCAAAATTCCTGCTCTGTGCTCCAGATCAGAACCTCTTGTTGTAAATAGGGGACACATTTGCATCTTTTGTTATAATTTTATTTCCCAATTTCAGGCATGCCATATTGTAGGCAAATGGTAGTATTCATTCAGGAAATACATTTATTAGTGAATTGAATACTTGGAATTCCACGCTGAGGTATCCAGATCCTACTATTTTGACTGCATTTTCAGGTGTACCATAACAAAGCAAATGAGGTGAAATTATAACAGAGTTTCTGCTTTCTGGTATTTGTTTGCTGAATGATAAGTGAGTACTTTTCATTGTCTTGATGGGCTTCCGTATCAGTGTTACCCGTTTTCCAGCGCTGGCTGGCTGTACTTCCTTGCACACCATGCTGCTATGAGAAATTGACAAGGGAGACAGAGGAGCCAGTTTCTCCAGCACTGTTGAGGTGACATTAATAAACATCAGGTTTGACCCGCATCGGTATGCTTGCCAGTGCACTTGCTGCCACAATTTACCAGAGATTATTTATTAGACTCAACGTGCTTTCATGTACTGGGAGCTACTCTCATTCGTTTTGATTGTAACACATTTTAGAGTAGACATAACTTTTTTAGGCAACTTCAAGTACTCTGTTTCAGCAATGTGTATATTTCTGCCTTAAAATAATGCATGATTAAAGTTGGTATATGTTGTCTTCTGGAAAGGTATTATTGACATTTTCCCCAAGATTGTAGATGAAAATAGTGAATTACAACTTGAAATTTGGAAATGTGTTGGAAAATTCATCCTTTTTAACAAGTATTTTTCTCCTTTTTAAAAATTAAAAATGAGCACACATATTCATATATAATATTTGCTAAGTACTATTTAAGTATCTATACTTCATTCAGTGAGGAAGAAATTTCTCTTTCACAACAAATACCACCAAATAGTACCTACCGTAAGAACTTAGCACAGTGAAAGAATGTATGTATGTCTGCATATGCACAGGCCCATGTGTGCAGGTAGAAGGGTGGGTGAGGACATTTTTTTACAGAGAAAATTTAGAAATAGAAGCCCATCATTTTAGAAGTCACCAATTCAGAATACATTATCCTACCTGGCTAATCCATACATAGGAATAAATTGTAAGTGTTTGTTTATTGCTTTATTCAAATAATCCTGGTGTTCACCAAGAACCTACTATAAGCCAGGTCCTGTGCTACATCATTAGGATACAATAGAACTTATATCCAGTGGAGAACTCAGGAATCAAGTAATCATGGAAGGAAATGTAAAATGACAACTGTTTTAAGTGCCGTGAAAGAGAGGTACATGTTACTGTAAGAGCCAAGATAGGAGAATTTGTTCTAGTCAGGAGAACAGGGATTCTCTAAGGAAGTCAAGTGGGAAATGAGGTCTGAAGTGTGAATAGGAGTTAATAAGGCAAAAACCAGGAAGAGAGAAAGTATTTCAAGCAGACGAAACAGCACATGCAAAGGCCCTGTGGCTAGAGAAACCCTGCTTAAACTTGAAGAATTAAAAAAGTACTGGAGCTTAGAGAAAGTGGAAGCAAAGAGAGTATAGCAGGTCGTGGTGCATGATGACAGTGGAAAGGAGATGCCTAGACTGGACTGTGTAGGGACTGTTGGTCTGTTAAGATGTGTGGTCTTTCCCCAAAAAGCAATGGGGAGCCATTGAAGAGTATAAATAGGAAGTGTCATAATCGCGTTTGCCTATTGAAAATAGCTGTGTAGCTGCATTGTAGCAAACAGACGGCAGAGGAAGCATGGATGCTTGGAGACCAGTTAGGAGGCTATTGCAAAGATTCTGGTGGACGATGATGGAGGTTTGGATTAGAATTGTCAGAGGTAGAGATGGAGAAAAATCAGCAGGTTTACCTATAGAAGGTAAAATCAACAAAACTTGGTGATAGAATATTCTTGTTTTGGGATTCTTCATTATTTTAATGAAGGACAACACTTCATAAATGAAAATACCTAGGTGCCTGAGGTCTTGAGGATGGTCCCCAACCATCCAAACTGGCAACATCGCTGGATCTCGAAATGATATGGTAGCTGTTGTAGTTATTTGGGTGATTTGATGATGGAGCGTCTGCTGAATTTTTACATTGAAGGGATATTTATTAAGTACTCTAAAACCAAACTGAGGGTTTGAGGGATCCAGTTAGTATCAAGAGACTTTATGATGAAGCTGCTAAGTTGTTCTGAATTACACAGAAATATACGTCAGCACCGGCAAAGGGGTTCCCAACATTATTTTTGCTGCAACAATTCTTGCAAAAATCTTTCAATCTCCATAGCGGCTCAAACTTATATTTAGGCACAATGTCTTTCTAATTAGAAAAAATCATTTAAAAATATTACAGCGGCTGATCATCAGTGATTTATCAAACATGAATAGGGAAGAAAACAGGTGGGTTACACGAAACAGTTACACATCCAAAATCTGGTATTATTCATCTTCTTGTTTTCTTCCTTTTCCTTTCTCCTCATCGTATCTCTCCAGCCAAATTCACCCTTAACACAGAGAGTTCTTTCTGAAATCTTCATGCCATTTTCTTGATTCAAATCCCTTTGGCTACCCCAGCTTTTTGGAAGAAATTCTTTACCTTGGAAGAAAAAGTACGTATTTTTTATTCACTGCCTTACTTCATGCCCTCCCCCTTCGGAGTCCCAAATAGCACTGGATTTATTCTGCTGTGGCAACTGAAAAATGGTGTCTTCTTCCCTCCCACACTAATGTTGACTGTGACGTGACTTCTCTCTTCTTCACCAAAGAAGCAAGCGGCTTAGCCAGGGCTCAGAGCCTCAGAAAAGGCACGATGATCGCAGCCTGGACCAAAGCCAGCCTCTGGCTGGTGAACCATCCTGTCCTCAGTCACGCCCGAGGAGCAGAGAGAAGGGGGACCAGTGTGGCCATACTGGCTCCTCTGTGTGGGTGTGAGCAATAGCCAGGAGCACGGGATTGGTTGGAGAGAAGCGAGCTGGGTCAGGAGGAGAGGAGAGGCATAAAAGATCCCCTATAGGTAATTCTATTGCCGTCCCTGGTATCCTGGCTAGTTTGATGTCCTAGATTTGACTCGGAGTTTCTAAGCATGTGCTTTACATGGTGAAAATTTCTAACAAAGACATAAAAATTTGCGTTTTTTTTTCTGTGTGTGTTTTTGTCTATACAGCAGTTCTATAGCTATTTTATTAAGATCTCTAAAACTGATAAGCAACACTAGTTATAAGATTTTGAAACTCTGAACAAGAACCATTTGTAAGCATCTATTAAGAAAAATACTTATTGATCATCTATAAGCATTGTGCCAGGTTCTCTCCCTCCCTCTTTATTCTTCTTGTAAGTGTTCAGTGCCCTGTGGTTATTTCTGTAATTAAATGGAAACCCCTATGAAGGACTTTAAGCTTCTCCAACAAGCTACATATGTTCCCTCACTTGTAACCTCTGTCCCAGCCATACAAACCCCAGCACAGCTCACCTTTTCTCGAGTCCAAGCTTTCTTCGATGTCACTTGTCCTCCCTAAAATATACCTAGACTGTACCTCACCTCACCACCATCCTATATCCTATCACTTCTGGTAAAAAAAAAACATATGTAAGTTATTGCTTCTGATTACGTTTCTTATGATGACTCTTCTCAAAACCTAGTCCAGCTTTCTGTATCTAGTGGTTCTTCAATGGGTTGTAGGCGAATCTCTATGAGGATTTGAAGGAGTGCTTCAACGGTCCAGGGAAAGGTATTTTAAGCTTTTTTTTTTTAGTTCAATATTCAAATCTTTGAGGTTGTCACAAACAATATTAAATGATGTTTTAATTTTCCTTTTGTGTTCTTAAAATTAGTGTGTTAATGACAATCTGCTTAAAATCAGTCTGTATTGCTCAAGATTTCTAATGATGTCAATGAATTAGAAGCACGTCACTGTATTTTCTTCATTTTATAACAAATCTCTTATTAGCTAAATATATTTCCCTGGCATACATTTGAAGTTTCTTAGTTAAAAACAATCAGAGATCCAATGTATCTTCAAATTAAATTTTTGTATGCCTGAAATACATGACACATTGCTGCCGGGAAAATGACATGCTGAACTTTCACAAATTATCCAGGAACAAATCTTATTTAGAGAAATTCAAACTCAAAGTGCAGCAAACCAGAAATCAGTTACTAAATGCTTCATAATTCGGTTTAATATTCAGAATGATATATAGAGAAGGAATCGAGGATGATTTTGTGTTGACTCTCACACAGAAAATGTAAGAGTTCTGGTCTCTTTGATTATTAGCTCAGAAATAATCTATTTTAGGCTTTTGGGACTTAAGACTTAAGTTCAAAACCATGTTTATTCTAATGTCTGTGTTTATAAATCTTGCTAAATATATTATAAGAATTAGAAGGGAGAATGGAAGATATGAGTTTCAAGAGCCATTGACAAATAAATCCTACAAACCAAATAGGAAATAGAACATTAATGTTAAGAAAATGCTGTCAAAAGAAGGAAGAAATGAGTAACTGGCAATACAGAGTACTTAGAATCACAAAGTGCTAAGATTTCTAAATCAGTGATCTTGTGAGTTTTTTCTACACTGTTAATACTGACAATATGTTCCATGAATAATGCAATTGGAATGATTTCTCTTTGTGTGGATTGCCAGTTCTAGAAGTCAGTAAAACCGAAGAATGTGTTGAAAAACCAATCAGCCTACTCAATCAACTAAAGCCTCTAAAACATGCAATGTCTAATTACTGCAATTTAAGAAGTATAGTATGAGTAATAGCAAAAGTATTTCATAGTTGCTTTTATTAAAATCTTCTTCATTGAGTTCATGATTGAGTCTTTAAAAGGAAATCCCAGATGTGAACAGATATATACGTATTTTTTAAGTTTCCAGCATTGTGTGTATGAGAAACCAAAATCTTCGGGGGGGGGCATGCTGATGAGTTGCATGACACAGCTGTCATTTCTGTTTTGAATGCATGTCCTGTTTTTGAACCTGCTAAAGTGTGTCGTGCATACACGTGTGTCCTGTATATGGTATTTTGGTCTGATAGCGTGTTTGAGTTCTTTCTGGCTCTTTTTCTAGCAGAGTTCAATCCACAGCTTTCTTCATTGGAGAATTTGTGAAATAAAAGTGAGTTAATTTGTGTTACACGCTCTCTTAGATACCTAGACCTACAAATTGCTTGGCTAAAGCTAAAAAATAGAAAATTCTAAGAAACATATGAATTCACTGTAATTGGCCTTTAGTGAATTTAAAAATATATTTTCATGTTGGTTTATTTTTGAAATTGTTCTGAATTATTCCATAGCTAACATTTGAAAAAGTATCCACCTATAAAAAATGTAAAATATATGTTTTATAATATGTATGTACTATATAATATCTAACCATTCTGTGATTTTTTTTTACATATATAGTAGCCATGTAATTGCCCTAAAAAAATCACTACCACCAAAGATAAAAGCAAAAATCAGATTGAGATCGTGAAATCTTTTAAAAACATAATCAGTTCTGCAGCTCTATCACAGGCCATATATTTATGCTACTTATTCCTTTTATCGGCTTCAAGGAAAGTTGAGCTGCTAATGAGGAATCTGAATTGTACTATAATAATATTAGATAATGACACTTTCAAAAACAAATTCATATGTTTCTCAGCTGAAGTTAAGATCATAGAGCAAAAAATAAATCTTATTTTTCTGTAACTTGCTTCATCTCCTATCTTGAACATTCCCCAAACAATCTTTCTTCTCTAACAAGTCTTGCAGATACCAAAGGTAACAGTAATAGTATGTCTGCTAATTCACTTTTTTTTTTTTTAACTTTTCTACTGTTTTCAGTTTTATTGACTCTACCTTAACCTAACCATCTAAAAAGAAAAAGAGACTTGGGAGTGGGGCACTTAAACTCATTATTTAGCTAGTTGATTAAGGACTCCAGAAGCAGAAATTTTGTTAAAAAATCTAGGGACATTTTGAGAGTCACTGGATCTAATATTAGAACTCTAGAAACTGAATCAGGAAAATAATGAATTGATCCCATTAACTGCCAAATCTTTCATATTTATCCTTAGGGAAATTACTGACTTTTTGTTTGCGTTAGTGTCCCAATCTGACAAATAATACCACGCAGCCTGTTTGTAAAGCCAATTTGGAGAAACAGGAAAAATACCAACCCAGTAGTTTGCTTTACATATAGAAGATCAATTGTGTGCAGTGATTCTGAGTCAGGGCATGTGGCTTTGACCAACAATAGTGAATCTGTGTCATATTGAGTAGTGTTGCCCTGAGATTCATCTCTTCCTCATGTTCTTAGCCCCTGTAGTATGTAAATGTAGTATAACATTTCTTACAGAATGGAATTTTATAAGATTCTTAGATACTAGATGAGGATGATGATAAATGGCCATGAGTTAAGAGATTTTACTTTTTGATCTATTTATCTTAATTGTTCTCACTTGATTTGACTCAAAACATTGTCCCTAAGAATTACCATTCTTTGTCCGTTGAAATTCTGCTGAGAAAGTTGAACACTTGTCTGACTCCTAATGGGAGAGTTTTTGTGAATATGGCATACCACAAAAGTATTTGGTTTCCAATTGTCTTGTAGTGATGATGGAGAAAATGGTGGTAGTGGTGGTGGTGATGATGCTGCTGATGCTGAGGATGCTGATGACATAACTCATTTAACATAAACAACAAACATTTATTACATGTCCACTACATGTCCATCTCCACAACCCAATGGTGGGTTTTGTTGCTTCAAAATGAATTGGATATTACTACTTAGAAAACATATAAAATATTTCTATAATAGGATTTGATAACAATGCTTTTCAGTTTCCTGGCTCTATTTGGGGAAAAAAAGGGAATGACTGTAACCTTAGGAAATCTATTACTCTTCCACATTTTGCTCAATATTTAACATAGAGTTTAAATAGAGAAAATATAACCTATAAAACCACTATCTACAGAAAAGAGGAATGTCTCCTTATTCTTGACAATTTTATGATTTTTCTCATTTCCTACCCTAGAACCTCTACATGATTTCATTGTCTTGGTTTAGTCCAAAGGTTGCCTTCTATATGACTTAATCCTATATTTTAATCTTTTCCTTTTTGTATTTTTGTAATTTATGAGTGATTTCTGAAATGGTCCCTCTTTATAGTGAATTCTGCTGAAGGAGATATAGTTCTTAAAGGCACCAGTGCACTTCCTTGATATACAAATATGGAAAGTATTTCTATGAGCTATATTCTTTGCTCCAAATGTTCCCTATTCTCCACTTCATCTGCCTTAAAGATAATGACAAAGCTAAGAGAGGGTAAAAAGGTTAATCAGGAAGTTGATACCTCAGTGTTCATTGAGAAATTTTTTAAACTGGAGAGGAAATAAAAAATCTTTGGATTTTTATGACTTACTTTATACAACAGAACAATGATCTTGGGCACTCATCATAAATCTCCAATAACCTTAATTAAAACTTGTAGCCATAAGTACCTCTTACTATGACACAATAAAAACTAATTTAAAGGATATGCTATGGCTAAACATTTAACAGGAAGATCCACTAATAGCATCACAACATGCAACATTTTTTCTCATTTGAAAGCATTTGTAGACCCTGATCTAATTAAAGATTAGTTGTTCTGTTCTCTGGAAGCAGAAACAATTCTAAGATGCCACCAAAGCACAGACTTTGAAAATATTTGAAGAGAAAAAGTATTACATACCTGGTAAAGTCATGGTACATCCTCAACCTCCACCACTAAAAGGAAAATTGCCAATCATGCGACTCGATGTGTTTTTTTCCAGTCAATAATTAAGAGATTTCAAAATTTCCATTCTATTTAAAATATACTGTCCCATTTCTTTGTACAAAAAAATAAAGCAAATGAACTCCCACCAGAAAGACTGCTTGAATGTTAAAGGTGCTTCTAGCTGTGTGTACGTGAAAAACAATTTTTGTCTTGTCAAGTTGTTGCTGGAAACTGTTTGCTGTTTAAATGTTAATCTTCCCTAGAAAACAATTGGCTGCCCTATTCTGTACCTGAGTGATAAGATAATGAAAATGCTTTATTTCATTTACAGACCATGCTAATGAGGAAGAGTTGGAAAAGATCAAGTAAGGTAATGCTTAGCATGTGATCTTTCAGCTTTTCTTGTTGAGAAAAACTATCAGCTGCTTTCCCAAATCTCTCTCATACCTCTTCAAACTGTACCACAGGATTTCATCACTCTTCAAATGTTTTTTTTTTTTCCCATAAACTTTAAGCAAACCATGTGATTACTTTTAAGTAAATACAAATCACATTGATCAATCACATCCAAATCACCCTTTTGCTAATCTCTGGTCACTTCTCAGCATCATTCTCAGCATCTGGTTTCTGTTGTATGTACCACAGGGTCTAGAAAATGTCTTTGCTCCAGATCAGGAATAAAATGATGAGGTTAGGACAGGGACAACTCCAGAGAGAAGGAAGATCCGTGTAACTTACTGTTTTTGTTCGCTGAAAATTGAGTCTGAGGTTTTCTAAACTCAAAAATCCCTATATTGCTGCGTCTTTGGAGTGTATAATGAGAACAGTTTTCCATCATTGCCTCTTCTCACTTCAGGAAATAAATGGCTCTTGGGAAGCAAGAGGAGTTTATGGTTCTTGTAACTTACTAAGCCCTGGCTCTTCTTATAACTTGTAAAATATATAAGATATAAACTAAGCTTCTAATTTGTTCAGCGGTGGTACCACTCTTGGACACAAATAAATATCAAGATAAAACTGACTTTTATATGACTACTCCTTGAAATAAATCAAGGGAATTTTCCCTGTAAAAATCTTGTTTGCTCAAATTTCTATTTAAAAAGTCAGTATTCCTTTTTAATAGTGACATTTTTTTAGACCCTGGAACATGACAGTCTGTTTTCTTCCATTCTGATTGAATCATGCTATCATTTGAGTACTTCTTTAATCGTGTCATTTTTATTGTTGTGAATGAAGAAAATCCTTAAAATGTTTTTGTATTTATGGTAATGTCTTAATTTGCTTTAACAAGTATTTCTTACTGTACAGTTTCTTCCCAATTCTTATAGAATTAATGACCAAAAGATAATTTTGCTCACACGAAAGTCAGGGCCACATTAAAAGTCACCCTTATCATTTTAATAAAATGAAAAACATTTATTAAGGAAAGTTGCCAAATATTTCTGACTTATGTTCACTGTGTTTTTTACTGACCAAAATAAAGTTTCTTAAAGAAATGTTTGTACTGTTCATATTTGTATTACACTTTTTTCTTTGTAATTGTACTTCAAAATTAGTGTTATGTTAAAAGTACCTATATTTTTAAAATTCATGTAATTTGGCTTTCCTCATTCTGTATCTATGATGTATCTGTGTTATGATATATCTGTGTAAAAGCATTGCAATCCATTAATATGTAGCAATATTTTCTCTTCCAGATATAGTTAAGATGAAATGCTAGAGCAGGATATTATATAGTATTTAGTACTAATTAGTGAGAATGATCCATTTTACTGTAGTATAAAAGAAAGGATAAATAGAAAGATTCTTCTTTAAATAATTCATTTAATTTATATTTAAATTCAATTTTAACGATAAATTAAGTAAACATAAATCCATATCTTTTCCTTTGCTCTACCAAAAAATTAAAAATGAATAATAAACATCTATTCTCCACTATTTTTATATCTAAAATTTTTGGAGTTTTTATTTATAATCATTTGTACATGCAAACTGGTACATTTTTCTAGCTTGCCATTGCAGACACAGAATTCCCTGTGTCTAACTCTTTTCTCAGTGGGGTACTTGGCAGATTATTTTTAGTATGTGTGGTAATATGGCTTTTGAGTTTTTAGCCTAAAGGATTTTCAATTTTATAAAATTTAATGGGGATATTGAATGCTGAGTAAAAGAAAATCAGTTCACTCATTTGTTTTTTTCTGTAAGAACAAACTGAACACTTGATAATTCATTCAGATTGTCACTGTCCCCTAAAACATTTGCTTTACAAGAGCACAGTGTTAAATTCAAAACCCAGGGAAAGTTTGAAATTTCAGTTACCACCTAGCCTGCCATCCTTCACACACACTGAAACTGCTCCCCCAATTCTTTCCTCCAGGGATTAAAGGAAAAAGGATGATGCTCAAGTAAATTTTGCTTTCTGAGAAACTAAAGGCTAAGTGACTGTACTGTGTAGTTTTATGTATTACTATGTTACTGTTTTGTGGAAATGTATCCCTTTTCTAATTATTTCAATCTACCCATTAAAGAATTTTGTGTAAGGACTTTTCCTCTTTTATTTTTGGAAAGAGGATATAATTTATTTGTGTTACATTTAAATACAGGTTTTTTGTATTTGGTATAACATGCTCAAAGTCAAAGGTGAATTTTTCATATAAACAGGTCATTTTCTTCTTTGGAATCTTGATTTATGGCAATGAGGTCTCCTGATTTTTTATAGCGGGGCTTTGGTATGCAGCCTTGTCTTTGAGCACCAAAGGTGGATATAAAATCTGAGAATTATAAACTTTGTGGCAAAGACTTAAATATAGTCAGATAATGTTAGATACTCTCTCCAGTGTGGGGTTTTTCTTCCTTTCCTTGGCTTTTTTCAGAAGTGATATAACCATGGAGGGGGATACGCTAAGTTGACATTATCGTTTTTTTTTAATATGCACATCTCCCCTGTATACAAGTGAATCAACTCATGGAATTTCCCATTACTTAAGTATCTGTTCATCATTTTCATCATCTCGCCAATAATAGATTCTTTCAATGAAAATCTTATTATGTATTTGTGGCACTCACGTAACGTGGGGTTGTATTTAGTATTGAAAACAGATGAATAACCAACCTGAGCACAGGGAAATTGTAACTGCTGTTCAGGACCAACTTATATGTTATTTGGAGTAAATGTGTTACCACGTAATAATGAATAGGAGAAAAATACACCTAAACTTACCTCTGAAGAGCAAGACTGTATAAAATATGTGCTATATTTGAGTGGTATGTAAACCTGTAAATAATTATGGATTCCATAATATCTTCTCTTCTGGGGATGGTAACATCCTTTAAAACACTCATTCTGGTTTTCCACAAGCACACTTTCCATCCTGCATATTTTTAATTCTGCCCCACACTCAGCTGTTAAAGAAAAATGTTATTTTAAGAAGAAAGGGATTGATGTCTTCCTAAACTTGGGCAACTGGTTAACTATCCTGGTCAAAGAGTTTTACTTATATGACAAAATGCATTTTGGTAGAGAAATGGTAATGCTTTTAGTTATTGCAATATTTTATTCTTTAGAAAAAGCTTATCATTGATCATTTATTCTAAGGTTAAATTATTCAACAAGAAAGTTTCATGAGCTCAGAAGAGATGATGTATATGTATTTTGTGAATAAATTTTGTGGGGTCAAACCAAAAAGGTAAAAAAAAAAATAATGAAATAATTGCCTCTATCAGACACTAAGCAGAAATGATTTTTCACTACATTGTGTGCGTGTGTGTGTGTGTGTATTATCGTAGAAGAATGAGTTTAGCAATGGGTGAGATAATAATAACCTTATGTACTTTCAATAAATCACTTCAATTATATAAGAAATAACCATTGTGATAATATAAAGATATACATATTGCAATTCATATTCTCAACAGTAACAGTTTAGAATTGTTTTAAGAAGAGTTTATCCTTGAATAATATAATATAGACTGTGATAATATCTCATTAGCATATCTTCTGTTACTTGATGGCTTATTTTTTTTAGTAATACCTCTTTTTTATAAAGATTTTATTATAATCACTTAGCATAATTTTAATGAACTATAAAACACTTTATTCACTGGTTGAATGAAGCAATTTTTAATAAGACTTTTGGCAAGGATATTGTTAATTTAAACCAGAGAACATTTTCAACTCTGTAAGTCTGCAGGGTGTAGTTAAACCTGACACCTTGGGTGACACATTAAAAATGCATCAGTGAAAACCTCTAAGTGTTTTAATTTAAGAAATGGTAGAGAAACAAATTAACACGTTTTTAAGTATCTCACACAGTCAGTCAGACATAGGAGGAAAAAAAGTCATTATTTAACAATTGTCAGGTCCTTTCTACAAAGACTTCACATCCCGGTAATAAATAGATCATCTAAAAAAAAATCGCAAAAAATTAAAACTTTATTGGTCATTGGCTCTCTCAATCTGTATGACCAGAATGGCTTTTTTGTGTGTCTCATTTCAAATTATTAGGCATATGTCTTTGAAAAAATGAGATGTTTTCATGTTTCTGAAGGAAATATAAAATTGTTTTTAAAATCCTTACTTTACCACTCTGTATACTCTCAAATTTATGTTTTTTGAAAATGCTATCAAGTCAACCTCATAATTAAGAATTCTGAGATTCCAAAGTGCAGCAATGAACAAAAGGCGAATAGCATGAGCATTTCTATTATAAAGGATTGTATTTTGACCTCAGTTAACCAGATTCTTAAAATTTGTAGTAAGTTTATTTAAAATAGAGATATTATCGTAATGCCAGTAAATATTTGATTATCCCCACAAAATATATGGAGCTATAATTAAATTTTATATTGAGATGATTTTTTTCTTGCTGTTTTGACTTTTCCCATAGGTATAAAATATCATACATTTTTATGTATTGTAATGCATAGCTACAGGGATTTGCTGTAACAATGGCATTACATTTATTTGACCGCTCCTGTTGAATTTTTAAAATGTTGTGGGTCCTTCGGGAAGCAAATCTGGATGAGTTGGCACAATGTGAAAGGACAAAATGTAATCTCAAGCAGAGGATGGATTCCATGAGGCCTGCATGCTCGGTCTAAGGTGGTTAATTGCAGGTTGGCTGATTGGCCTTCATATTGCTGAGATGTGTCACCAAGTGAGCCGATGGTTCCCCAAGACCCGTTCTGGGCTGATCAAAGAGAGGGAACTAATATAACTTGGCTCAAGGATAATGGAGCTAAGGGCTGGTTCACAGATTACGTGGTCTTTTAATTCGAACATTTATATTTGTATATATATAATATATATCAGCTATCTCTGACATATATATGTAATAAATGTATATATATATATATATGTTAAATTGAGTATGACTTTGAAGAGATTTATTGGTTTTCAAGTCCCTACATGCTCACAATAAAAATAAATCATAATTTTGTGAGGATCCTGCTTTTGAAGCTCTGATTGACAGCAATATATTCACATATGTACATATATTTATACATACATGTACATAAACATAGACACTTTCACGTACACACCCACACTAACATCTATAAAAGATTTAGGGTAAAATTTCTAGAAAAATAAAAGACAAAGCAAGGTTAGGCTTCAGGTACAGGGCAAGTCCTCTGGGGAGCTGAGATTGTCTCTCTCTAGTAATATTTGAAAGGACAGTCGATCTGCAGAGGGGATCATGTTTATGTTTAATGAGTATAAATGATATGAACAGCTATTTGAGTAACCAATAAAACCGGAAAATAGCATTTCAGTGTGAATTTCTGCTTACTTCACGGCCCTGTATTCAATTACGTAATTATCCATAGGCTTAGTCAACTGGATGGAAGCGTCCAAGAGCCACAGCTTTGATAAACAGGGATTTCAGTCTGACCAGGGAAACCTACATAAATTATTTACTTATGAATTTATTTATTCTTTTACCTCTTAAACACCCGAAAAGGTAATGATAAAAGGAAATTGTGGGGGCCGGCCTGGTGGCGCAAGCGGTTAAGTGCCCGCGCTCTCCTGTGGTGGCCCAGGGTTTGCAGGTTCGGATCCCTGGCGCGCACCAACACACTGCTTGGCAAGACATGCTGTGGTGGCATCGGATATAAAGTAGAGAAGGTGGGCACAGATGTTAGCTCAGGGCCAGTCTTCCTCAGCAAAAAAAGAGGAGGATTGTCATTGAATGTTAGCTCAGGGCTGGTCCTCCTCACCAAAAAAAAAAACAAAGGAAATTGTGAGCCTATAAAAGAAATGCTGTGTGATCAAGAATGCTACTTGGCTTGACTTACATTTGAATCTCAGGCTTCACAATGTCAAATCTATTGTGAATGTTTTGAGTACAGTCATGTGCCACATAACACTTCAGTCAAAGATGGACTGCATATATGATGGTGGTCCCATACATTAGTACTGTCTGACCTAGGTGTGTAGTATGCTATACCATCTAGGTTTGCGAAAGTATACTCTATGATGTTCGGACAATGAAACTACCTACCAACACTTTTCTTAGAACTATCCCCGTCGTTAAGTGAAGCATGACTGTAGTGAAGAATTGCTGAATTATAATAACACGCATTATGTTTAAAGGCCTGTACACATTAAAGCTAATAAAAAAATCCTTTTAATAAAAATTTAGTGGCTAATCCTTGTTCATCTGATGACAAAGTCCTTAAAGATTTCTATGATTTATTTTGTATAGAAGGCTGAAAGATAGCATCATATTCATTTGTTAGGGAAAAAATGAGCTGTCCATTAGTTTTATTTCTCTGAGGAAAAAGTATATCCTCTAGATGTTTAAATTAAAAATCTGGTTGATTTTTAGATTCATGGTAAGATTTTTGGTCTTTGAGGAGAAATTTTCTTAGTGCGTGTTGGTTTTTTGGAGGCAAAAAATAGATCTAAATGAGATATTACCAGTGGATCTTGCTACTTTAGTAAATTCAAAACCTCAGTAGAAATAGTTCAACAATTCATTATTCAGAATAACTTCAATAACTTTCCTTTATCAATTTGATGTCTGTTTTTTGTTCATTTCCTTTTGCTATTACTTTATAATTTTAGCATTTTAAAAATTGTGCTTTCCCTCACTTACCAACCTCTTGTCTCACGGACACTGAAGTATAACTAAAATCTCTACAATTATGATTTAAGATGTCTTCTCTGGAATTCGTGAATAGTTTATTTTGTTTTTCTTGCCCTCCATAATAAAATCACCACTTTTGTTTAGAACTCATTATCGTAATGCCAGGTGTTTTATTATTATTTCTGTTATTGTTATCATTAGAAACTCTAGTGAAAGGAAGGCCTCGGCCAGTCTGTTGTGAATTTTATATTCATGCAAAGCAATAAATGGCACAGGGTTCCACAGGAAAATTAAGTTGTTTCATTTGAAATAAAGGCCTAAATTTACATGAGAATGTAGGTTGTAAAATGAAATATAAATTTTAGTTGATGAATAATGACAGAATTAATTAAATATAGCATGAAAAGCATAGCCTAGGGACTTCAGTGGATCCAAATGTGGCTAATATTTTTGTTACTCAACTTTTAACAGAGAAACCTAAGTTCTAAATCTTGATAATTAAAATCTCCCCCCCAAATTCATCCATCCCATTTTGCTCTTTGCATACTAGTCCTGTAATTAGGTCATTAGCCTCTGTGTTCATCTGAGGAAGAATGGAATGTATGGAGTTGGTGTAGTTTCAGTATTAATCACCTTAGACCACCTAAATTTTAAATGAATTAATAATGCTTTTAAATGATTAATGATTGTCTTATTTGCTGTACCTATCTTGAGTCTAGAGTCAAGACTTACAAATCCATTTGAGTTGCCTTAACACATTTTGCATTAAGATAAAACTCACTGTTAGTTGTATAACTTGTATTATTGACTCTAGGGAAATTATTTGTGTAAGGAGACTTCAAGCAACAATTTTTTTAAATATGAAACTCTAAATTTTTTTCACATGTTGCTAAACATGCTGCTTAATTAAAAAAGAATTGGGAATCAAACTAAAGGGAATTAGCAATAGAAAAGGAGATATGCATCTTTTCTAAAAGCTAGAATAAGGTTTTTTGAGTTAAACAATAGTATAGCATCAAAAAAGTCTGCAATCATTCCACCTAAAGTTTGTGTCCCAATGTCCAAATGTAAGTGTATTTTTTAAGGATTTTTTTTTTTAGAAACTGATGTGATAATGTGCTAAGTGTGAGAGATGGGAACCATAGCTGTAAATGTAAATGAATTATAACTCCGTAGTGACAGTGAAAGAATTTATTAAACTCAAGACTTTTTCCTGAAGACCTCTGACATTAGACACATGACCTGACCAAACCCTATGCAAGTAACTTGGGAAAATGTTAATTAGTTTCATTAAGAAATAAATTTCATGTAAAAAGCACAGGTAGGTTGTAGAGATGATCTCTGATGTAATTCTAGTTTTAAATGTAAATTATTCAAGTTGCAGCACACTCTAAAGTACTTTAGTTCATTATTATTTTCTGATGTTATTTTTGGTATCATGTTTGGAAGGAATATGTATCCTTAACCAAATGAAACTCCAAGTGAGAAACAGTCAATCAACAAATATTTATTGAGCACCTACTATGCATTAGGCATCATTTGAGATGCTGAACCACTACAGTCTTAGCTAACACAAAATCATGGAATAATCAAATAAGTTGCGCAACTGCTTCCTCTTTGTCACAATGTCAAAGGTTGATATTCTCAGGTAACTGTCATCAGTTTTCCATAATTTTACCATAACTGACACCCAGGGACAGCATGCAAAACATTAAACTTGAAAGGGTGCTTGTAATTTAAATATTCTGTTTAAAATTGAGTAACTATGTTTTTGATTTCCCAAAGTCAAATTGGTTTCACTTCGTAAAAGTTTGAGGATTAAGTAATAAAATTAATCCATTGCTTTGTTTTCAACCCAATAGCCACCTTTCTCAGTATTCATCTCTTTTTAAAATTATTTTTGGGGATTTCAAATTAACAAAGTCATTTATATTATATCATATTACACTATATTATTATATTATATCATAAAACTAGGAAGTATTTAGTAAGAAATTAAACCAAATTTAACTAGGTGTGTGTTTATAAATAAGATTGCTATCATTCTTTAAAAATGCTCTGAAGGTCTGTGGTGTCAAATTGTTTTGTTAAAAGGAACAAATATTGTCTGGCTTATTTCAAAATCTTAAAATATGTTTAAACAGTTGAATTTTCTATAATAAAATGTTAGACTGAGATATGTTAATTAACAGTTAAGAATAAAGAGGTAAGTAGACTCTTAAAAATTATACAAATAATCCTCTCTAAACTTTACTACCATTGTTATCAGATATGAGTAAGATGAAAACTTTATTCAAGAGAAGAAAAATTATAGTTTATAAACATCCAAAGTGTCTTAGGATATATAATTTTTGTTTGTTTTGATTTTGTTGGGCTAATTAGTTATTCTCAAAAACATCTCAAAATTTAGCTAAATGTTTGTTTGCTTTTAGGAACTCTCACAAAGTGAAGTGGTTGGATCTTATTTCTCTGTGAAGTCTTTCTTTTGGAGGGTAATATCTAAATCCTTTATATTAATATTCTTGGTTTTTTTGTTCTGAATAGTTATTTTGTAAGTTAAATGTAAAGTAAGAAATTCACTTTTTAAAAGAGGCTATGAAAGAGATATATTCATTTGCCTTCTTTATTAACTTTTATACTAATCATCTAGATGACTGTCTCTTTCATTTCTTCATTTGTAAAAATTAAGAATTTCATATATGTAATATATTGCTTTGAAGTCAGTTCCTTGTGGGACCAAGTTTATCCCAAATTTTGAATAACTAGAGGCCCAGGGACCTTCCAGGAATATGATGGCGCTGTCTAAAGGGCCCATTAAGGTTCTTTTTTGCCTCATAAAATGGGATTATTTTCTGCTCCATTTCTGTTTGAGAAAAATTTACTTCTATTACAGTGATCTTATACTAGATACGTACTAGATAATCAGTGTTCTTTCTTTGAAAAAAGAAAATCCTGTGGATTAGAAAAACAGCAACTCTGCTTTTGATTTAAATAAAGAAAAAATGAAATTTCCATAGAGAATTTGTTTTAAATTCCATTGCAATTTAACGTTATTTACTCTTTCACGACTTAAACAAAATGAACTGTCATCCATTTTTTTCTCTGCATAATTCTGCATTATGCACAGCACGATTTATTACTAATGTACTTACTACTTTGCCTTCAAGAATTTCCCTCTTTCTTTGAAATTCACACTTGGTACATGATAACCTAGCAATAGATATTGCAATGAAAATGCTACACTGGTAAGGCTTTGTCATTTTCTTTCCTTGGCTCTTAAAACTACTCATGATTGAAAACTACGTTTCTTCTTTAGAATTTTAACATTTGTTGCAGTATCTGTTAAACGGATTGGCAGATTAAGTCATGCATTGACTTGATGAGTGAGCAAGTATAAGCCACATCTATTCATCCCCTGCCCTGGCACAACACACACTTTTATGTTTTCTGAAGACTTTTATTGTTGTGAGCTTATTTTAACGATTATAGCCTCTTCATTTCCATATCTACTAATGGCTGCCTTCACTGAAAGTATTCTATATCTTTGCTAAAATAATATTGACTCCTCTTATATGTTCATGCATTGTCCATGAACACACAGAGTGACTGCTTTTGAATTGTCCCATGACCTTAAATGCAAAATGGCTTTTGCGAAAATTTTGTCTCTGCTTTCTTAAGACCCACAAATATAGTGAATTCATACAGTGCACTCCTTTGCCAAGGGAGCAGAATTACGGGCGTTCTGTGTTGAATTTCTTCCATATGCAGCAAATGTGCAGACTAATCATTATGAATGAAGACTTGCCACCAGGACCAAGTCCATAAGTTTCCCTTTCAAATAACTTTCAACATCTTCTTTCCACTTTGCTACTTCCAAATTAGTCTTCCACTTGTCAGTACTTTCCATTTAGTTGTATTCAACCTTAAATATTCTTTATTAACCTTTCTCAATCCCTTGAATTCTCTTATTTTATAAAAATAAATATGCAAATTTAAAAGATAGCTTTTTTGTTTCTGAGGTACGGTGGTCTAATGTCTTTTTTTCTGGGAATATGTTGAGTGACAAACACATTGAGTCATAAAGGCAGAACCTTTAGGGATCATTTATTTTACCGATGAGGAAACTAAGGCCCAGAGAAGTTTTATTTATTTATTTATTTTCCCCCAAAGCCCCAGTAGATAGTTGTATGTCATAGCTGCACATCCTTCTAGTTGGTGTATGTGGGACGCGGCCTCAGCGTGGCCGGAGAAGCGGTGCGTCGGTGCGCGCCCAGGATCCCAACCCGGGCCGCCAGTAGCGGAGTGCGCGCACTAAACCGCTAAGACATGGGGTAAGGCCCAGGGAAGTGATGGTCTTTCTAATATTTAGTACATTTACGTTTCTTCCCAGTTATCTCCATTGGCTAGACATTTATGTTCTGATGACTGAGAGTTAATTGAACAAACTGTCTTAGGAGAACATTGTAGTGAGTTAAAGACAAATTTTTTTTATTATTGTTTCATTGGAGAAGGCTGGGCTATGCCAAGACACCTTATATATAAAATGGAGAAATGGATCATCAAGTGAAATGGGCGAAAAAGAGTGCATAGAATATAGAACAATTTGGAGTTATGTCAGAGAACCACCTTATGAGAATGTCAAACAAAAGTGTGGTTGAAGGAAGACCCTGCAGACCAAAGAGAAGAGGTATTGGCTTTGTAAAGCAAGAATGTGATCCTGTGCCAAAGCACTTTACGTTCTGAATAACTCACCTGTATATAACATACACCCAAGAAAAATTCAGGTATTATTTCTACATTTAGGTATGAACGTAAGACCCTCAGAAAAAAACATATTTGTAACTTTTCATTAAAAGTCGCAAAAAATTCTCTGTAAATCAAACCCAGGACTCATTATTTTTTTATGGTATCACTGGTGGAAACTTACAGATTACTTTAGCAAACCAACAAGATTATAACATATATGATGATTTTCTATTAGTATATGTTTTGAGCAAATATAGTAAAAGCTTAAGAACTTTTGTTTGGCCACAGTTAAGGTTAGAGAGGGTAGTTAAAACATCTGAAGTAAACATAAATACCTTCCTGACACCATAAGTCGTATCAAGAAGCAATAGAAATAGGAAAGAAAGTTTAAGGATAAAAAGCAGGAGAATTTCTCTAAGGATTATAGCACCAGTGAATCATCTTCTAAGAAAAAAGGGATTGAAGCTTTATTATTAGATGAGACACTTCAAAGTAGGCTGGACAAAGCACTGGGAGGGTTTTCTGTAAAGGCAATCCTGCTTTGAGAGGGTGGATGGACTGTAGAACAAATCTACCTGTTGGACTTCATCGTCCAGGAGCAATTCAGTGGAATAAACTCAGCAGGAAAAGGAAAAGATAGAACATGCCTGTGGCTGGGATTGAGCGAATAATTGCTCTGCGCTCCAGGCTTTGCAGCACAAAACAGTCATTCCAGGCTGTCATTATCTCTTCTTTGTAGTGTCGCGTGGATCATTTGATTAAATAAAAGCACGTGCACCTCTGTGCTGAAAATAGAGGAAAGGGCCAATAACACACACAGCTATTGTAAAAGCACAAGTAATGTCTTTCACTCCAGTTTCACAGTGTCTGGGTCTCATTTGGAAGGATTAGGTTGTATACAGGCAATAAAATCCACGATAACAAAAGCCAAGGATTATTTGCACATATCAGGGAGAAGATTGGTATGGCTGAGTGTTCCTTTAGCCACATGTTAAGTCTAAATAGACTTTTTTGGTTTTGATCTGTTAATCAGGATCTAGAATAATAGGATATTTCCTATTATTAGTGATCCACTTTTTCAAGGAATGGAATTAACAAATTTTATGAACTAGAATTGGAATATAGAAGTGTTCTCAATTTATATCCAAGATTCTACAACTTCGCCACCTTATTGACGTTATATTATAATTTATTGTGGAGTACAGTTAACTCCCATATGCTTTACTGAATGGTATGTGGTAGAGTTATTACTACCTGCTGACTTTTACTGCCTCTAAGTCCCTGTTTAGCCTTTCTTGGTAACCCAAACATAAGTCAAAACATAAGTCAAAGAATTTCAACAAATCCTGTACAAATTAATTTCCTTCTTTTTTTTTTTTTTTTTTGGTATCATGAACTTCTTAGGCTCCGTCCAAAAAATGAGATGTAGTGGGGAAAATCATCAAAGGTATCAGCACCCCCAGATTCAAATCTCAGCCTTGCCAATCTCTACCATTTGGCTTCGAGTATGGTGTTTATCTTCTCTGTGCCTCGGTTTCTTTACCTTAAAAATACTTGTCATGAAAAACACTGGAGTATGAAAACTCCAGCTCATAATAGCTGCTCAATACCTGTTTATTTCTTTCTGTGTGATCTAACCAGTCTTTCAGGCTGGCCTGATTTAATCCTCCCAGTTGATTTTATTAAACCTGATGACTCTCATCTCATCGTAATACTATTGTTTGGAAACTTTGTCTAGCTGCTCTGAAAGTCATTTAATACAAACTTTCAGCTCCACCACGATAATTTCTGTCTAGTGTTTCTTGTTCAGCTGTATCTTTCTTAATCTAACCCTTGCTGCTCTTGGTCTTAGTAGTAAAGGGAACTTTGGCTTGCTTTTTTAGTAGTAAAGGTAACAAAGGGAAGTGTTATGCGGGGTAAAATTTCTCTGTTACTTTAGAGATATCTCTTAAGCATTACAAAAGATTCACATGTGCAATGCAGTTAACATGATCATAGTTATTACCTCTCCATGTCCCGGTTATTCTTCTAGAGACTTGTCACTTTTTTGACATTGGAAACAATTTCCAAAAAATTTTGAAGCAGCAGACTTAGGAAAATGATTCTTTCCATGATTTCTCTTGCTGTTTCTTTTCTCTGTTACATCTATTAACAAAAACCTGAAACCCCTCAAGCAGGATCCATCACCATATAATCTCTGTCGTTTATTTTCTTGGCCACTGCAGCATATGCTACTAAAGAAAACGATGGCTGGAAACTATATTGTTGCATTGGCATTTTTCTTCATTGTGCTAAGAGACTTTTCTGACAGTGACTTGAAAAGCAAATATATATTTTTTCAAATAACATTTTTTGAAGAGTAATGCTCAACTCCGATTGAAATGAGGCATTGATAGTGGCACAAGCTTTCTCGTACAGCTCTGATTGTTCATTTCCATCCAGACGTGTGGCAGGCCTGCTTTTCCTGTCCTGGGCTTCTGCAGAGCAGAGTTTCAGAGTGCTTATTACCAAAGTGCACAAGTAAGTTCAACTATTCAGTTTATTATTTTTTTTCTGAGCTTGCATGAGTGGTGACCTCTCATGGCTGACTTACTGTTCTGAAAACCCATCCCCTATCCTAACCTCTTTTATACATATGAAAAGGGATTGAAATCTTGAATTCCTTTTCAAGGACTAATATTCACTTTAAAATGCCAGCTCACTAGTTCTAAAATCTTATTAAAGATGCATGTCATTGACTAATTGCCTCGACTTTGAAATTTATACTGTTATCTGGTACCTTGATATTCTTTATTGAATCTGAACTTGGATGAATATTCCTTTTGAGAGTGGATCTCAAACTTTGGTGAGCGTGGGGTACACGCTGGAAATACACATGCAGCTCTGCTCTACAAGAACTGAATCACATCCAGAGGAGTCAGGCCCAGAGATTCCAACAAATTGCCCACTAAAATTTGGGAATTGCTGCTTTAAAAGTTCAAAGATTATTTCTTCCTTTTGTGGAGTTGGCTCTTTGCTTTGAAGCCGGATTGCTTTTCCTTGGTATTCTTCCCTCCTCTTTCTTGCCCTCCTCAAATAGAATTCTATTTCAACAAGGACATAGTTGAAAACATTACCTTAAATAACTAAGCACCACCTGTAATATATTAATTTTATTGAGGGATAACTTGGATTTGTTTAACCCTCCTTGTTTTTTAGGTGCTCAACAAGAAATTTTTGGTTGACTGATTATCAATACTTCAATTAATATGTATTACGTAGATACATCCTATGAGAAAAAAAATGTTAACAAAGGAAGGAAATAATATTGCATAATTTTTCAGTAGGCTCCTACGTCTCTCTTTAAATGTACTAAATATCAAGGCTAATCTGCTTTCCTAATCAGTAAACTTAGAAGTAGAACTGAAGAAGGACTTTAATTAGCATAGAGAGTATCCATGCCAGAGAGTGGAAAATGGTGACAATTATAGTAATTGATAATAGTTACTAGATCATAGGACAAGGCTGGTGCGCAGGCACCTTAGAACTTGTAAAGCAGGTTTTCACACTTGAGATGCATCAGAACCACCTCGAGTGAGGGCTGGTTAAGCCAGAATGCTGGGCCCCACCCCCTGAGCTTCTGATTCCTTTGGTCTGGTGTGGGGCTAAAGCATTTGAATTTCTAACAAGTTCCTGGGTAACACTGATGCCATTGGTCTGTGGACCACACTTTGAGAACTTTGCTATACAGAGGAAGGAAACTTTAAATAGCAGCAGCAAGTGACTTGGAAGGTACCTTGGAGAGCATGAAAACTAGTAGTTTTCAAAGTTTTTTTTTCTTAGTTATGAAATTCCAGTTGTCACCACCCCTTCAATGAGTTCCCCAAAACTTTGATTTAAAAAATAAATAAAAGTAATAAAAGACTAATTACCTTAAGCAGGTCAAATCTTTGCTTATGGAATATAATACTTTTTTCTATGCAAGGTCCCCAACACACAGATACTCCTAACACCCTCCCACGTACACACACACGCGCACACACACATACAGAATAGTGCAGTGCTCTTAGTACACTCGGGGCCCTGGAGTACAGTCTGGGAAACCATAGATAAGAAAACTGAGGCCCAGAGAGAGAGCAACATGCCCAAGTCACGTAGTCATAAACTGCAAGAAAGATGCAAGCAAATGTTAATGTTAAGCCCTTGTCTTTTCTACTCCTGGTAGCCCAAGTTTATATTTTCCCCTTTGCCTTATAATTTTATTTCAAGTTCTTACTTTTCATACTTAGACTAACTTTTTATCTGTTTCACAACTGTACAGTTAATCAAATCACAGGTGAATTATGGAGTTTCTTTTTAGAAAGTACTATTTTTAACAAAAAAAAATTTGAAGGAAAGATCACTTTTGAAAAATGATATCTGGTTAGTATATCTTTGGAATCCCTCCTTTTCTTTCTTTTAGCCTTGTACACAGACCACTTTAATTCCCACATTCATTAGCCCTGTTTTTGTGAAGAAATATTCTTCCTCTTCCTCCCCCTTAGCTTCCCAATTTGTTTTGGGAATGTTCTTCCAGGTTATAGGAAAGCATTTTCTAACAACTAATGGCAGTAGGTAAAGCCTCCGTTAAGTTCATTTTATTTCTGTGAAAGCAGGAAGGGTCCCATGGGAAGCATTCATTCTCCCTCCCATCCTATAAGTCAAGTTTTTGTTCTCATGTGAAAAATGGGAACAGGAACAAGCAAGGGCGTCAGACCTGTACCATTCAAGAACCTAACTTAGCAACGCTAATTGAAGATGCTGTGTAACCTAGATTGCACCCAATTATAATTTGACTAAGTGCAGTGTATAACTTCTGCTTCTAGAGTGTGTAGGGAATGTCATTAAGTATATTCATCAGCAAGCTGAAATATTGTAAGTATGAATACATGTGCTCGTATAATAGAAAAGTTAGAAGGTGATTTCATGTATTAGCGATGTAGGAAGATCTAGACTGGAATGTCTTTTCACATATTATCAACTCACTTACCTGGACAATACCCTTTAGCAATGTTATACTTAAATCATGATTACTTTTAAAGCTAGGAGAGAGTCTCTACCCTAAAGACCAATATTGGGAGAAGCTCAGGAATGAAGGTCAGAAATACTGGGTTCTAGTCACACATTCACCATTTATTAGCCCAACCACTCTGAGCCTCAAATTTCTCATCAGTAAAATGGGAATAGCAGGCTTGCCTCCCTGCTTCATAGGTTTTTAGTGGATACCAAATAATACAATGTACACATACGCACTTTTGAATTCTAAAGCTCTATATAAATGAGTAGTTATTAACTGCTTGGTCTTCGCTAATTATTTCTTTTTACTTGCCAAAAATTTGTTTTCCTTCTTTCTTTCTTTGCCACTAATATTCCTTAACAAAAGTTTCAGTCCCAAAGTTTAGAACCTGATTCTCTGGAGTCTGCTGTTAGAGGCAATCTCAACAGTAGCAGAAGTGGTTAGATAGATACATAGATAGACACTGAAATCTATTGCTGCGTTATATAATCATAAGCATGAAATCTTAGAACTAACAAAAAATGCCTTGAAGATCACTTGTTGTAATGAATTCTAAATAATTATTTTAATCTGAGAAATCCTTGGTTCAAAGAAAATCTAGTGTGGAAACCCAGTGTGTAAAACAGATGACAGCAGAGTGGGGCATAGAGTCCTGTGAAAGTTACAGGTGCTCCAGGAAACCTCCATTGCACTTCAGAACACAGCTGAACACTGCTCTTGGAGCTCACAGAAGTGAGGGGCATGTAGGCAAAGTCCTACATTGATATTAATAAGGCAAAGCCACCAAGCAACGTTGTTCAGGATTTGCTGATCACCAAGGCGGGTGAAAATTCAATGTGATTTGGAAAGATTTCCGTTGATATGTTCAAATATTAAAAGTATTGTCTTTTGAAGAATGTAGTGTTTTTCCTACTAAAAGCACCTTGAAATGCATGACGTTTGATGGCTATGGCATTACTGTGGGAAAAAAGTAGAAATTTAATGTGGAAGGGGACTTACAGAAAATAGGCTATCACTTTATAACATTAACATAGAAGGAATTAGGCCAAAAGTAGAGCTAATCCATGATTTAGAAGTGGAGTACTTTGAGGCTGAGAGAAATGTTGAATTTCTTCATGAAATAGCTATAAGTGAAGCAAATATGCTTGACAACATGAAAGAAACAGCAATTTTGATGGTATTGCTTGGTTCTGAATCCAGATGGAAAAGGTTTAACATTTTGGCTACTTTCTCTGGCTTGTTTTATGTACTATTTAGTTCAAAAAGATTATATGGCCATTTTTAGTAGACTTGCTAATTTTTAACAATTCTGATTTTGTTCACTGGCTTGAAAATTGTGATTTAGAAGTGAGCATAATAAAGATCATTAAAGAAAATATTCAAATACAGAATGAGAAATAAATCCAGAAACATACCTGCCAATTTAAATCATGTTATGTAATTTTTAAAATTTGTGATGCAAGTTTCAGGCATAAGTAAGACATCTCAGGTGGACATATTGATTTTATTTTCTCTTCTATGGTACCTTAAATAGTTCTTTCATGAGCTGAAACTCAGTTATCTCCTAATGTGGCAATAAAAAAGTTTTTAAATTGTCTGAATAGAACTTGCAACTAATCTTACAACTAAAAACCACCTCTAAAATCCATGTGTAGCATTAAAAAAAAGATTTTCAAAAACCATAAGTAATTAAAAATTAAATATCACAGTGAGAATGAGGCCTTTGATATTTATGATATTTTTTATACATTTGTTGGCACAGGCATATTTGATGCACATGCAAATTTTCATTGATGTTCTTGAAGTATCTACATCTTGTAATTTTAAGAGTTGAAAAACTAGACTTTATTTTGAGCACTCAGCTCTTTTACACAACAACCTTAAATTTATCATGAGATGATAACTTTATATTTATTAATAATTTTATAATTAATAAATAATAATCCATAAATTTTTTTATTTTTAAAAATTGTAACTGCCTATTTTTTATTTTTGAAAAATTATAACAACAGGGTGAAGGGTAATGCCATATGAGGCGTTTTGGTTTAAAACACAGTATGCTAACTGTGTTTTCCTTTGCCAAATGTTTCAGACCCAAAGTTTACGTCTGTCAGATGCACACAGAAAATCACATCTTTGGAGAGGAATAGTCAGCATCACGTTGATTGAGGGGCGAGACCTCAAGGCGATGGATTCAAACGGGTTGAGTGACCCCTACGTGAAGTTCCGGCTTGGGCATCAGAAGTACAAGAGCAAGGTGATTGTATCTCTTTTGTGTTCCTGTCAGTATGTGGAAGGCACTGGTTGGTTAACAGTCGTGCTTTGAGAGATGAAAACACTAGATACTTTAAAAAATGCTTAATAGAACTTCTTTGAACATCACGTCAACAAACAAGATCAACAATTGTATTGTATTTCTTACTTTATGAGCTATGTGACCTTGGGTAAACTACTTAACTTCTCCATGCCTCAATTTCTTCATCTATAACCCAGGAATAATAGTAGGAACTATCCCTTTTAAGGGGGGGGGGGCGGTGTGCTAGAACAAACATAGATGCCTGGCACATAAAGTACACAGAGTATTGGCTATTGTTATTATTATAACAAGGACTAGTATCAGTACTACAAGTAGCATTATTTTACATGCCATAAAAATCTTTGTACATTAGTCTGAGCCATTTTATTCAAACTGACTTGTACCAATGCAGATTGCAAGTTTTTTTAAAATTTATTTTGAAAACAAAGGGCCTAATTCCTGCTGCCACTACTAGCAGGGTGCCCTGGGACATGTTACTTTGCCTCTCCATGCCCCAATTTCCCCATCTGAAAAAATGAGAATTAAAATAATGCCTACCTAACAAAAGTTATGAGAAGATTGCATGAATATATGTTACACATGTTAAGGGCTTGGAATACTGTCTTGCCCATAATAAATATTCCATAAAGGGTAGTAGCAGAGGGAGGAGGAAGAGTGGCAGCGGTGGTAATAAGTATATTGTATAGTAACAATTATATTAGTAGTAATAATATATTAAATAATCATATTATTGATAGAAGTAATAATAATTAGTAATATAAGTATGACCTAGTGGTCATAGTTATATTTGGGGCACATGTCTTATCTGTGTTGTATCCAAATGTAACCTCTTTAATGGTCAGCTTCTACAGCTGGTATTTATAGACGACTTGGGACAACTGATCCCATCCATCTTGTATTAAAAATTACATTCCACTTTGATGGGAATATCTTTGCCTTGACATCATCGTTTTCACGAATTTTTGATAAACAGCCTGCCTAGGTGCCTTCTGGCCCAGTTTTCATCGGTCCCTAAGGTACCTAATATCACAGAGCTGATTCATTACCAGGCAGTACAAACTGCTAGCAGGCTGACTGGTTACCTTATTGAGTGCCCACATGGAAGGAGAAGGCATCGTTTCTGACGTGAAGGAAATCATATAGGAAAGACAATCCTAAAAAAGAAAACTGAAAAGTTTATGGCCAAATAAGTAAGACAGTCCACTCCCCAAAATACTGTAGGAGTTCATCTGAGCCCAACTATGAGACATTTGAATTACCGTAGCACCCGTCCATCCATTGCCATCTTTTCTTTTTTCTGCCATAGGCTTAGTAATGTATTTTAAAGAAATTACTTATTCCAAAAATAGGTACCTATGACCACTTCTATCTTGTCCTTTATCAATTAACATCATTTCCATGTTCTGGTAGGCTTAAAACATTACTTATTTTTATAGTTCTGCTCTTTAGGTATGAAATATGAAACCCAGCTATGGACACGTGTCTCTCTTTGCTCTTTCTTTCCATGATCTATTGCCGATTAATTTCAGATTATGAACTTTAAAAATTGTGATTCATTTGCATTGCCTTTGCACATAACATACTTCATTGCTTTCAAAGTCTTTACATCTGAAGATCTGTTTCTCATACGTTAAAAAGAGAAAAGGCCACTGCGTGCCCTCCTGCTAAAAAAAGAATACAGAAACAAATATGAATGTTGTTTAACCCAATGGTGAACAGAATTTTAAAACACATCCACATGGGTCACTTTATTCATTGATTTCACCAGGTGTCTTATCTGATACTTGAAATTACAAAATTGCACTTTATATATCTTTCTTGTATGCATGACATGGAGATTATACACACACACACACATTTCATATTAATTCACAAACATTTTTGGCATATTGTTGTGGGGAAAGAGATCTGAAACTCTAATCAAAGCCTTGAAGTAGAGTCTAAATGCTAAAATGACTTTAGGTGGGTCACTTAAACTCCAAGTCTCAGTTTCTCCATAGATAAAATGGGAATGATACATCAATGCTGTAATTCTAAGGTAAGAGTTTGTCTGACCATGCCAGCTACTTGCTTTTTCCTCCTGCTCCCACAGAACTTCATTGTCTTTTTTTTTTTTTTTTCATGTATTCAGCTTGGAATTCCATGTGTGTGGGGAGTAAGGAAAAACAGAAACTCTGGAAATTCTCATCTTCCTTTATTATGAGATGACAGACTATGAGTTATGTCTTCGTGCATTAACTGGTTATGTAAGATAAATGCTAGTACCTGAGTGAGCTATTTCACTTATAGACTATTTGCTTTTCTGTATAACTCATATCTCTCACCTGTTATTCAAGATGATGAGGGGGTGCCTCTTGGTTTTCAGGACACATCCTTTAGGGTTCTTTTAGACGATATGCAGTAAAGATGCTAGAGATCTAAGGATTCATTTCTTCATTTCTGGAAGCTTTTGTTCAAATCTCACACTTTATGCTTTTCTACATAGTACCTAAAGTTTGATTTAATGTCTCAAGTTAAATTTTTTGAAAAGACTGATATTGATGAGACAATAATGACTTTTTGGTTTTCCAGATTATGCCAAAAACTTTGAATCCTCAGTGGAGGGAACAATTTGATTTTCATCTCTATGAAGAAAGAGGTGGAATTATTGATATCACTGCGTGGGACAAAGATGCTGGGAAAAGGGATGATTTTATTGGCAGGTTTGTACAATTTTGTATTTTTGGTTCACTCTAGAGAGGGAAAATTTTCTTAAAAGAATATTTGCTTTAAGTCTAGTTATTGTAATTGATCTTTACTGTTTTGGAAGAAGGGATCTTACCATAGTAAGGCAATGCTTGGGTGAATTGAAAAATAGATTTGAAGAGTGACCAGTAGGTGGCAGTTTTGACCAGTTGATGGACAAGCTATCCGCATTTGAGATCCAGAAATTTTCTCCAGATGTCAGAAACATTGTGAGTAAAAGTTATGGGAGTTGAGAAAGAGGAATCTCATTTGATTTAAGATACTTAAAGGAACAAAGAGCGTATTCACAGACTGTAAAGTGATCTGAGATAATATTACTTTTCATAAAGCATATTGTGACCATAAAATGCATTGTTTCCTACAACTCTCTACAAGATAGAGAATCTTTACAATCTCCTAGGAGCTCATAAATCTGTAGCATTCCCACGTTTTACTGAAGGAAGCATGTAAGTGAGGCAGATCCACGTTAATCTGGTAACGCAGTGAAGAAAGAAGTATTCTGAGGCTTACGTGACATCTCTCCACAAAGACAAGGTTATTTTGAATGACTGCTTGAATTATATGAATTGTTTTCTTACTTTAAAGTCTATTTTTATATTTTCGATAATCGTATATGTCTCTTTGTAGCAAAAGACATTGAGACCTGCCAATACTGAAATAAAGCATGGTGTAGAGAAGAATCTGTTAGTTTACAAAATTCTTCCTTCATTGTAGTTCACATGAATTCCAAGTCTCTAAAAATACAGCCTGAAGAAATGCATACATATTAATAATAATAAAGAGAATTTTATGCTAGAAAAGCAAGAACAGGAATCCAACCCAACATATTTATCTCTTTGTTTTTTTGTTATTACAATATATATGTTTTAAACAATAGTTTTCTTCGTAGGATTGTAAAGTGAGAGGTCAAAGATTAGCTTCAGTTAACCTTTAATATTTTCCTTACGAAATGGGAAAAACTCCACTGTAATCTAATATACTGTGTTACACTTCAATCCTTTTTAAAGGACAGACCTTCATTGTATATTTTTTCCCTCTAGCAAAACACTATTTTCAGAGTTTTCTTCAAGTTTTCCTTGTTCTCTTCAGGATATACCACCAGCTTCAGTAGCAATATACATCTGTTAATGCACTGAATACGTTTCATTATAATTATGTCTATGTTTCTGTCTCCTCAGTATGCTATGAACTCTTTCAAATAGGTACTGTCTCGCTATTCCTTGCGTTAACTACTTTATTTTCATAATTTATAGCAACATTAGTTATATTTGGTGACCACAAGATAATCAGAATGACTGTCATGTGTAACTTCCTACCTCAATCTCATTACTTTATATTCAAAATATCTCATATTGGTAAAATAATGAAGTAATTGCTAAAATGTGCTGGCTTACTGTCCTTCTGGGTCCGTATTACATGCAGTCTTTCTTATCCCCTTCTCCATTTTTTTCCATAATGACAGATACCCTTTTATGTATTTTTTCTTTTTCTGAAAAAAATTTCCAAATTTGGAAGTTATGAAAATTCCTCTGCCCACTTAGTACTGATCTTTCTCTTTTCCTCATTGATATTATGAATTCTTCAAGGGCGTACCTAATTACATTACAGAAAGGTTTGCAGAGAGGGGGACCTGTTTACCTCACTTCACCTTGTTTCTACGGATTTGTCCATATTTCGGCAAATTTTGAAAGAACAGTAACAAATGGCGGGTCTGAAGATCATAGGGATTGCTCTAGATAACTGGAGGCACTAAGAAAGTCTTATCAAGTTTGGAAAAAGAGAAGAAATCCATTTTTGGAGCTTCTTGGTTAGTGAACACGTGGAAGTCCTGGGAGAATGGCATAACCCGAGACAGCGTGGAAACTCTGTGCCCCTTCCCACATGCCTGGCCCTCTGCCTCTCTTCCATCTGGGCATTCCTGAGTTATATCCTTTTATAATAAACCAGTAATCTGGTTGGAAGTGTATCTTCCCTTCTTATTTTTTCTAGCTGTTGGAGGTATTTACCACCCACGTATAGTTTCTGGCTTGGGCTTTGCCTGGATTGGTAGGTGAGTTCTTTATGCTCATGACTATTACACAGGAGAATCCAGCCAGCAGAATCAAGGAGCCCTGGGATCCATCACCCGCATTGCCTTGACGGGCACAACTGTGTGCTCTGCCTCCAGTATCTTGGTTGGATTGAAAGTGGTTTGGGCGGTGAATCCAAATGCTACCATTAAAAAATTGTAGCAATTTTTAAAACTCTTGTTCATTTTGAATGACTTACTTTTATTTCCAGTTACATTTTTTTCCTAAATATAATAAAAACGTATCTGACATCAGCCTCACTAAAAAAAAAAAAAAAAAAAAAAAAAAAAAAAAATCCATTTTTGGTCACTTGCCAAACATGATTGCTTATGAAAGCAATTTGAGCCAAAAAATTTGAGAGTAAACGAAAGCACAAGTGTAGACTAGATGACCCCTAGGACAGCTCTTGTGTATCAGTTTAAACCACTATATACAGTAAAGGGAATTACTGTTGAATTTTGAGATAATCAAAGATGGATAATAGAAACTTGTTATACACTCTGCTGATTTAACAAAGATGCCTATTGCAGAAAAAGGAAACGACTATAGTAAATCATCATTTTAAATCTATTCGATGTCCAGATAGCAGCAGAAACTCTAGATATCTAACTTTATGCTTATTAAATTGTACTTTAAACACATCCTGCCACTGAAAAACAATATGTTATACCTAAGTGGCAGGCAAGTAAAGTTGCTTATGTTTATGTGAAGGTTGTGTGGAAATAATGCATATTATAATAGAATTCCTTGGTTCCTAGAATAGTTTAGAAGAGAATTGACTTACCTTCCAATTAAATTTGAGTTCTAAGAGTAAAATAACAGTAGTGAAACTATTATCATGGTCTTCTGTCTTCTTTTGCAACTTATCATTGCAACATTCTATGTCTGTGTTAACTTTTTATTATTTATTAATTAATTAATGTTTATTGAAATATATTTGACATATAACATGTAAATTTAAGGTGTACAACATGTTGATTTGATACATTTATATATTGTAGTATGATTGCTGGTGTGGCTATAGTTAGCACCTCTATCACGTTACATAATTATCACTTTTTTATGGTGATAATAATTAAGATATGTCTTATTAACTTAAAAATTAAAAACTATTTTATGAGTTGGCTGGTGGCTGGTAAGTAAATTTAGAGTTGGCCATGGAGGGTAATACTGTCCCTTCAATGTCTAATAACTTTTTTTAAGTATACTGTCTAAATTCAGTCTCAAATTTGAAAACACTTGTATAGAATACATTCTCTACATAGGCTAGTTTATTGTGTTTTAGTTTTGTTATTGTCCACTTTTTTTTTTGGTTTTGGTCACATATAATGATTTTTGAAAGTGTGTTTTGTAAATGTATACTCAGTACCAGGGCCTTTTTTTTTTTTTCCCACAATAAGGACAAGACTGGCTATGAATTAAAGAAACACTTGGAAATCTGGAGTGTCGGTACAGTGAAAACTACTTTAACGCTGACCGTTTCCCACTCCCATTCTCACTTGAACCCATATAGTCAGGCTTTTGCCCCCAACAATCCACCAAAACTGCTCTTGTCAAGGTCACCTGTGACCACCCAGTTGTTAAATCCAATAGCCAGTTTTCAGCCTCCGTCTTCCCTGACCCAGCAGCAGTGCTGGACTTGGCTGATTGCTTCTTTACCTTAAAACATGTTTTTGTTCACTTGGCTTCCAGGACTCCAGACTCTGTCTTCCTCTTATCTCATCACGTGCTTTCTTGGCGTCCTTCACAGACTTTTCCTCATCTGCCTCGTGTTTTAGTTCTGGAGAGCCTCAAAGCTCACTCCTTGGGCATCTTCTCTATCTGTACCAGCTCCCACGCTGACTTCATCCACTCTTGTTCTTTCCATAGCATCTAAGATTGACAGAGACGAACACACGGCTCCACTTCACAGCCCTTCTCTGAACTCCAGATTCCCATGTCCAACTGCCTGCTTGATATCTCCGCTTGACTGTCTAACAGCCTTCTCCAATTTAGCAGGTCAAAGGAAAACTTCTGACCCCCAGCCCCCAAAATCTGCTCTTCCTTCAGGAGTCTCCCTTGTTTAACAGCAAAAATCTAGTCATATTTGATCCCTTTCTTTCTCTCACTCTCGTCAAGTCCCTCAGCAGTCTGCTAACTTTTCCTTCAAAATATATTCAGAATTCACTCTTCTCATCCTCTCAATCATTATGATTCTGACTGAAGCCACCCTCAGATTTCATGCGGACCATAGCAATAGCCTCCTGTTCTTCCTTCCGTGCAACGTTAATAAAGCAATTCAAGTCCTCTGCTCAAAGCCCTTCCATTTTTCTCCTGTGTTAATCTGGGTAAAACCAAAGTTCTTACAGTGGCTTATAATGCTCTTCATGATCTGGCCCTGTGACTCCTCTGCCCTGAACTTCTGCTCTTCTGTCCCTCCCTCTCTCTGCACTGTTCCACCTTCTTTGCGGTTCCTCAAGCACACCAGACACTCTCCCACCTCAAGATCTTTCCCTCCACCTGTAACACTCGTTCTTCAGGTGTCCATCCACCTTGTTCTTTACCTTCTTTAGGTCTGTGCACAAATGTCACATCAGGGAGGCATCCACATCAACGCTATTTAAAATGGAAACCCCTTTTCCTTGATATTACCTGTCCCCAATCCTGCTTTGTTTTTCTCCATTGGAGTAATCACCGTTTGGCATCTTACGCATTTCACTCACTTACGTTATCATTTATTTCCCATCACCAGAATGTAAGCTCTCTGAGGGCAGAGGGTTTTTGAGTGTTTTGTTCACTGGGGCATCCTCGGTGACTAAAAAAGTATCTGGCACATAATAGGTGCTCAATAAATATTTGCCAGATTTTAATTTAAATAGCTGAAGCTTGATTTAACACTGGAAATTATG